GCCAGGATAACCGCCAGGGGAAGCAGCAATCCTATCCCCGTCTCTCCAGGCGGGTATAATGCCCGCTTTTTATGGTCTCAGTGGCCGCCTGGATAGACGTCCACCCTGGACGTCTATAAGGCCGTTTTTACTGCGTAAACCCTAGCAGTTAACGCCCAAATTATTTGCTGGGTCTGCAAGCAGTTTTTCCTCCCGCCCAACAGACAAAATCCGCCAAACAGACTTTTGGTTTAAAATTTGTGTTGAAAATTGAAATTTTTAATTTTTATGAAATTGAATTTGTGTAAAGGACTTTTTGTCTAACAGACTCATCCCTTGCACAAATCAAGTCCGTTAGACGGGGGTTGACTGTATCTTCAATCCCTGATCCTTTGTCTCAGACAAATATGTATGGAATTCTACCTTAACATTAGTCCAAAAAATTGCCTTCCTCAGTGCCAAGAAACTGTCCAACTTTCCTCATCACAGCCAGCAGGATTCACTCAAGGGCATAATTTATAAAAACCTGATAAACGCTTGACAGCTGGAGTATGGCATGAGGGGGGACATAAAATGAGCAAATGCGAGCACTCAGATTTTGGTGGCCAAGAATAGTACATTTACATGGCATGTGGAATAAATTTACTTGAGTACCAGGTGCACCTATTTCCTCAAATTTGAGAGGAAAAAAGGGGGAGTATGCATCATATGTGGGTATACATTTTTCAAAAAGTTTTAGACATTTTGGTATGAATTATACTTGCTTCTAAACAACAGAAAAAGTTATTTTTATTGTGCACAATGAAAGTAAACTAGTCCAAATCATGTTCAATCTGTCGATTATTCCAATTTAGGCACTTTTTTGAAATATTGGGGTTTCAGAGTAACTAAAAATGAGATGCCTGTCTTACTCCAGGATGATTTTTTTTAATAAAAAAAAATTATTGTGAACAAATGTCAATGAGCAGCCCAATACCTGCTCTTCGTGTTTTATTCATTTTTTTAAGCTCTCAAAAGTGTTGAAGTCCACTTGCATTCTTCACACTTGAACGCAAAATGAACTCATTTACGTACTATCTTTGTGAAGAATATTGGAGCAAAATACAGTATTAAATTTAGAAAGGAATCCGCATTCCTTAAAATTACGCAATGAAGCACAAGGCCAAAAAGTTTGAAGAAAAAGTTAAGGGATGCAGTTTCGAAGTTTTGTGTGATGAAATACAAATTATATGGTAGATTGAGCTTTGCATGAAAATTGGAGATGCTTAATCACAAGCTAGGGATGTTTTTAGAGTGTCTGTTACTTTGAGAGAAGCACATTCTTATAAGTGACGTATTCGAGTCAACAGCACAGTTTCAAACGGAAAGGTGAGGTAATAATTTATAAAAACAGTGGGGTTTTCACAGGTGATGCAAAGTTTAACATCAAGTCTGTCACGTCTAGAGGTGAGTTTAAAACATCAACATTTTGGAAATTGATTACTCGTACAACAGAATGGGAACTATACAAAACAACCAAGATGGAAAATAAAGATCGAAACACGCTTCTTTCTTAAATATTTCATCGTTTCCAACACGAAATCCAGTAAAAAAATCTCATCACAAAAGACGCGTCGTCCAATAATAAAACGCGCCTCACGCAGAAAACATAACGCCTATACTCCCTTATTTTTTCTTCCCTTTGGCACTTGACTGCAATTCTCAGCAGCTCACACAAAAAAACCCCGTCGTGTACAAAACGAAAATCAGCAAAATTAATATTTAAAAAAAATCAAAACGCCTCTCCAAAAACTACAGTCAAAACAATTAATTTATATAAAAAAAAAAACCACACATTTGACCGATGCGCTCATCATGCAAAAGAAACCTTGTCACGTTTATCCATACTTGATACGGTTTTTGAAAAACCTTCCCGTCTGTACATTTTCACCGGGATCCCGTTTTTGGCTTTCAGTGTTACCAGCGGGAGAGTAAGGTCCAGCTCCTGACCCTGTTCCATTGTTTCGAACCTGATGGAAAAGGCAAACGGGAAAAATACTGTACAAACCTACAGTTTATACTAATTGGTCATTATAGTGAAATTTAGTTCACACATCGCTTATTAGTTATTACGCATGAAATTAATTCTATTGTGTGTGAAAGTTATATACAAGGAACAAGTCTCATCAAACAATCAAGCAGCATGGCTGAGCAAAAATTGAAAGTTGAGTTTCACTAATTGAAGGGTGATACAGGTGGTACCGTACAATTTGACCTCCTGCAATTCAACTGTCCCAAAATTTCATGGTCAAATTTGCTGGGAGGTCAACTTGAAATTCAACCTAGGCCCCGCAATTTGACCCACAGAGATGGGCAAAAACATCAAATTGTCCAGTAAAATGCAGTAAACATTGCATTTTATGTTGCTTTGCAATATGACTGCTTTTCAATTAAACCCTATTCCAGCAACAGATTAGGGCCAAATTGTGGGGCACCATCTGTATAGTCTGAATTGAATAAGAAGTTGGCTTTGGTCATGTGACTCATGTCAAGGATAATCATAAATGAATTAGGAACCACACTGAGAAGCTTTCTTGAATCCATGGTTAGTTTGCCCATGATAGATTATTTGGATTCTGTGCAAATATGAATCCAGGGTGAGGACTGGAATCTCTGGTCTTTTCAAGGGACTTTGGTAAAGTCAGGTTTCTCAACTTTGATTACAGTAATCCAATTTTCTTAGTTTTGTAATCAATTATACTGTTGAATATGGTTTCAATACATTATTTGAAATAGGGGCTTGGATGTGGTAATGTTGATTGAACCTTGTGAACGCTGAAAATTGGAAAATGAAGCTTTCTGTTCATTCATTAATTTGTAAATTATTGCTCAAGCCAAAGTATTTTTGAAATTATTGCAGCATGCTGATCAGCAATGTTACATCAATATCTTAATGCTGGTGGTACCTTGCAATTTTACATCCCACAATGCAATGGTCAAATTTGCTGGGACGTCAAATTACAATTCAACCTCCTGCCCCAGAATTTGACCTGCAGAGAGACTCAAAATGTCAAACTCAATGAAGAAAACATCACATTTGACATCATCTTGCGATTTGACTGCTTTGCAATTCAACCCTTACATGGCAAGGGATTAAGGTCAAATTGTAGGTCACCAACTGTAATACATTTTCTTATGACCAAGCTTTTTTCTGGTCCCAATCGCTTTGTTTTAATGATATTTTTCCTGCAATGAGGTGGGTTTGATTAGGACACCAAGTTTGGTTGGGTGAGGTTTATGAGTTTTGTAAGGTGAGGCTGTATAAGTTGGGAATCAGGTAATATTTTCAAAGTTAGGATTAGGATAACCAATTTTTCTCATTTGTGAAAACTACATTTTTGCTCTTGCTTGTGTTTGTTTGTAGATTATTGGGCACAGTACATCCCGTGGAGAAAAGACTGACCTGAAACTATGAAGAATCCTGACCAGCGCCATTTTAGTTTCAAAGATGGCGAAGTCCTTGCCAATGCAGTACCTTGGTCCAGCACCAAAGGGAATGTAACACATTTTTGTTCTCGCTTTCTCTTCTTCGGGTTTAAATCTATTGTCAGAATGAAAAATAAAAGATGGAAGAAAAAATATATTAGTTTCATCAGTAAAATTTTTTATACAGTATTCCCAATGATGAAACTTGTTCAACTCTTCTTTCAAAATTGTAAGGCTTGGAATTACCTATACACAGAAAATCATCAGCAGTTTAACTAATAAAAAAAAAAGGTTGACTCTCTCTATACAAACAATTTTTCCACCTGGATTGTGATGGTAATGAGAAACATTTCTGGGTGAGTCACTTTTTTGCTAGCTATTGCAAAATTCGGTTCCCGTGAATCTTTGTTTTTGTTATTCAATGGTTACAATGTTTGGACACTGCTGCGAGTGACATCTACTTTTTCGTTACGGGAATCAGGTTCAGATGTTTCGCAGAAAATCGGTGCGCAGATTAAATTGGCAGCACTGACCGTTCAGGAAGGAATTTTTCCGGTTCTCGCCAATATTCTTCATTTCTGTGCAGCTGGAACAGGGGCAAATGAACTGTGGCACCAGCAGGTATGTGAGCACCATTCCTCAGCTGGAAGTTCTTCTCACACCGTCTGGACACGTTGAGATTAACTGGTGGATACAACCTGAGGGATTCCTTCAACACTTTGTCCAAGTACGGCAGTTTCAAGACCGTTTCAAAATCTGGCTTGGAGGGATCCTGAAAGAAAAAAAACAAAGCATAAAAAATAAGGTAAACACTCGAGCTCAAGATGCATTCTTCAAATATTCTTTGGGTCATGTTTTCTCATCTACTAGGTGAAACTTTTGTGATAGGTAATATGTACAGGCAACCAGGTTTAGCAAACAGATTAGATCAAAAATTTGGATGAGTGGGTGTATGCATACATGTTGGATGTCTAGTTTTATTTTGCAGAGTGTGTTCTCTCATTTGTTTTTGTCATTGGTTTGTCCTTTGTTTCATGTTCTAAAGGGATTGAATGTCTTTGGGGGAGTTGAGTTGGGTTGGGTGGGGAGGGGGTTTGGATGCAGAAGTCTTGGTTGTGCCTTGTGAATGTTGAAAAGCGGCAAATAAAGTGTTCTGTTCATTCATTCATTCAAGATGCATTGTGTTTATTGTGGCAGTCATGCAGGTTGAAATGTGAAATATCATGGTTCGAATTTGGAGCCAATGACATGTTTTTTTTCATATTTATAAGTAATTATGTTTGTCAAGATCATCTTGTTGAACATGAGAAGTGATGCTCCGTGGAATTTTGTGATATTATTCATGAAATATTTTGAGACTAGGCTTCATGGATGCTCAAGTGGAATACTGAAAGAAAAATTCAGATGAAATTGAATAATCTTACATAACAAGCCATACACCCTCATAAATCTTGAATATTAAATTAAAAAACCCTGCTTTTTGTTTACATTTTGCCTCAAGTCAAGAAAAGAAACCAGAAAAGATTCACCCAAGTAAAATGTTGTTATTATAAAAAGCAACAAGTCATGGTACTCATGGAGACCTGGGAAAAAACCTTTGCTAAAATAGGTGACAGAATGAAAAATTCTGCCAAATAAGACTAATGCAGGTGGTACCTTGAAATTTGACCTCCTGCAATTCAGCTATCCTGCAATTCAATGCTCTAATTTCCAGGATGTTGACTTGCAATTCATCCCCTATGCGCGCTGCCCCACAATTTGACCCCCTTTGGCCACTTTTTTGCATTTATGTTCTGATATTTTTTCAATTTCATGACGGGTCTTGCAATTGAACTGCTTTGCAATGTGATGCTTGTTTGGCAATGGATTAGGGTCAAATTGAAAGATACCAGGTGTATAACATGAGGGCTATACTGCATAGTTGCATAAAACTTGAAAATGTAATGTGTATAGGCAAGAGTTTCTTATATTCATGGCTTATTTTCTGAAAAAATAAGCTCAATAATTTTATTAATATATCTGAGAAATGGTTCCTGCATTTGGCAGATGTTGAAAAAGTTTTTATACATCAGGGTGGCTTAAAGAACATACTTAAATCCACTATATTCACACTGTTCTGCATAATGTGTTTCAAGCTTTTATTATTTCAACATTATAATTTCATTGTGTCAATAAGTCAAACCTCCATGAGTCAAAAATTTCCTAATTGCAATTTCTAGTTGATTTTTTCACAATCCTTTCAAATTTCATTCAATTTGAGCTTCCCAAACTCAAAAATTTTTATGTAGAACTGGTCTTGGTTGAGTTTTTTTTTGTAGTTTTTAGTTGTTGATAGGGGCTTTATTTAAAACCGCCTTTCCAGAAGAAGTAAAATAGCTCCAAATTATTTTCGCCATGCTCTCTACAAGGGATTATATAGTTCTTTTTGTAGGTGGAAGCTCTTCGAATCATGAACAGTTTTAATTATTTGGTCAGAAAGTAATTCCACTTGATAATCCTGCTCTAATGAGGCCAAAAAGTAAATTTTTTTGAGCCTATTCATATTTAACTCAAAGGGGTTCAACCTCATCAATTTCTTGAAATCAATAAGATGTTATTGTTTTTACATATTTCTTGGAATTTATTTCAAGATGCTTTGTAATGGCAAGCATGTAAACTATATAGACAACATCAGCTGTGCAAACCATGGGGTCAATGTCACCTATGAAGTAGAAGAAGAGAGCCAGCAGACTCAAAAAGGGACTCTGTGACCTCTCAAAACAGCTGTTGAGCTTCCAGTGAGTCTGCACTGCTGGGGTCCCTGAGTACTAACTTCAAAGACTCACTTCTTGTGGCCCTGGCCCCATTCATGTGCTGTGTGACCCAGCAGGCCACTGTTTGTTCTCAGGGACTGAAGCTATCCAAAAATTCCAATTATTCTCTTCTGCCACATGTCAACTGCATTCCAACTATTTATTTATTTATTTGTTTATTTTTACTTAGTATTGCTCTTCAAGTCAAATTTCAAGGGACTAGGAAAAAAATTTGTTTCAGGCATTTTTCTTAGTGAAAAATATAGAGGAATTGCAGGAAATTGTGAATGGTGATGTTTGGGGATTTAATGTGCTTCTTAAATGAGTTGACAGGATGCAGACATTGTAGGCAATAAGGGTTCAGGTGCCCAATTAGTCTGTCATTTCTTTTCTAAACACATAAAGTTATTTTTATTGCTTTTTTATTTCCTGTTTTAAAAAAATAATAGCCAAAAGGCCTAAGAAAATTGGAGCTATGGAGGTTTTTAATGCACTGTTTCTAATGAAATTCAGACATGGACTTTGAAAACATTTGACTTTTGTTTTTTTGAGCGTTTGAGGTTCAAATTGTGGTCTATACTCACTGACCTGGATATCGCTGAGGATTTCCTGGTGAACCTTGTCCTGACATTCCGGGTTGGCAGCCAGAAGAAACAAGGTGAAGGCAAGGGCCTGGGCCACAGTGTCGAACCCGCCGAGCAAAAATACCCAGGCATTGGCAATGACTTCTTCTTCCGAGATCCGAGAGTCTTCCGACAACATTTCGTCCACCATCATTTGCAGAATGTCGTCTTTCCTCAAACCGGATTTCCTGGCTTCGACTTGGGCCTTCACTTTGGCGTAGAGTAATTTGCTGGCCTTTGGGTGGAACCCAAAGGTTTGGGCCAGGGATGAAATGGCTCTAGTAACCAGGTTTCCTTGCCTATATAGAGTTCAGTATAAATATTATTTAAAAAAAAGTCCCCGCATTATATAATACCAAAAAATTAAATAAATTCACTCACAAAACAAAATCTGCTGGTCAAAAATTACCGCAGAACCAATACAATTATAAACCTCTCCAACTCAAAGCCTTTTCCTCTCAAACCTCCATGACTAAAACTTTCTGAGGATTTTTGGCTATTATTTCCTTGACACAGGAAAGAAAAAACCAAGAAAAAGTACATTTATGTGTTTAGACAGGAAGTGGACGACAAATTTGGAGATGAACCCCAACCTTCAAGTTCAGAATCCTATCAATTCATTCAGGGATCAATTTAACCCCGGTGCAGCAAAGTTACGAAATGGTTGTGAAATTTTGTGTCACTGAGCACTGCAAATTTAAAAAATCCTTTTTTTTGTACCAAGGCCTAAGTCAGAAAAAAATTCTGATATTTTTTTTGAATACTACAGAAAATTTAGAATGAAAAATAAAAAATCCTTCATGGGGCAGCATTTTTTTCTATTCCTGAGAGCATTTGAAAATTTGCCTCTCAAATTTTTCCCAGCTTAGGCCTTCTCAACCTTGGAGAGTTTCAGTGACCTTGAGTCAAACTGAAATGCATCTCTGCAAAAAGTATTCCAACTCTTCAATGAAATGGAAAGGAACCCTATATGCTGTCCAAAGGTTTAGGCCCAGAATATCACCATATACAATTTCCTAGGATTAACTTATGTTTCCTAGGAAAAGAAATTTTGTTCAACATACTCAGAACCCCCCTAACTCAATCTTTTCTGCTGGTCCCTTGAAATTTGACTTGAAGACATTTCTGAACTATTACATATCAAAAAATGCGAGCTTTGCTATGACAGCATAGAAAATTGTGTGTTTTGCAAAAAAAAACACATTATGAACAAGAAAAATCTTTCAAAAATGTCACAGTTGAGGTTCTGTATAATCAATCAATTCAAATCGAACCTCTGAAAATTTCTGACAAATACAAAAACAATATTTGTGTGTTTACAAAATTTGGCTGTTAATGGGTTGAACTCAATTTTTTTGCTGGTCCCTTGAAATTCGACTTGAAGACATTTTTGACTTATTACAGATCAAACAATGCAAGCTTTGCTAAGAGCATAGCATATTGTGTGTTTAAAAAAAACATGAACAATAAAACTCATTTTCGACTTGGGCCTTCACTTTGGCGTAGAGTAATTTGCTGGCCTTTGGGTGGAACCCAAAGGTTTGGGCCAGGGATGAAATGGCTCTAGTAACCAGGTTTCCTTGCCTATATAGAGTTCAGTATAAATGTTATTTAAAAAAAAGTCCCCGCATTATATAATACCAAAAAATTGAATAAATTCACTCACAAAACATAATCTGCTAGTCAAAAATTACCGCAGAACCAATACAATTAAAAACCTCTCCAACTCAAAGCCTTTTCCTCTCAAAACTCCATGACTAAAATGTTCTGAGGCTCTTTGGCTATTATTTCCTTGACACAGGAAAGAGAAAAGCTGTAAAAAATATATTTATGTGTTTATAGACAGGAAGTGGCAGACAAATTTGGAGATGAACCCCAACCTCCAAGTTCAGAATCCCATCAATTCATTCAGGGATCAATTTAACCCCTGTGCAGCAAAGTTAGGAAATGGTTGTGAAATTTTGTGTCACTGAGCACTGCAAATTAAAAAAATCCTACTTTTGTACCAAGGCCTAAGTCAGACAAAAATCTGATATTTTTTTTGAATACTACAGAAAATTTAGAATGAAAAATAAAAAAAATCCTTCATGGGGCAGCATTTTTTTCTATTCCTGAGAACATTTAAAAATTTGCCTCTCAAAGTTTTCCCAGCTTAGGCCTTCTCAACCTTGGAGAGTTTCAGTGACCTTGAGTCAAACTGAAATGCATCTCAGCAAAAAGTATTCCAACTCTTCAATGAAATGGAAAGGAACCCTATATGCTGTCCAAAGGTTTAGGCCCAGAATATCACCATATACAATTTCCTAGGATTAACTTATGTTTCCCAGGAAAATAAATTTTGTTCAACATACTCAGAACCCCCCTAACTCAATCTTTTTTGCTGGTCCCTTGAAATTTGACTTGAAGACATTTCTGAACTATTACATATCAAAAAATGCGAGCTTTGCTATAACAGCATAGAAAATTGTGTGTTTTGCAAAAAAAACACATTATGAACAAGAAAAATCTTTCAAAAATGTCACAGTTGAGGTTCTGTATAATCAATCAATTCAAATCAAACCTCTGAAAATTTCTGACAAATACAAAAACAATATTTGTGTGTTTACAAAATTTGGCTGTTAATGGGTTGAACTCAACTTTTTTGCTGGTCCCTTGAAATTCGACTTGAAGACATTTTTGACTTATTACAGATCAAACAATGCAAGCTTTGCTAAGAGCATAGCATATTGTGTGTTTAAAAAAAACATGAACAATAAAACTCATTCAAAAATGACAAAGTGGAGGTATAATCAATCGATTCTAATCAAACCTCTGAAAAATTCAGAATCCAAAAGCAATTATTGTATTGTGTGTTTGGAGAGAAGAAACAAAAAGGAAGGTAACTCACTTGTCACCGCCGCCGAGGTGATGACCGCCCACGAGAGCCGGGCAGTAAATGGCGGCCTTGATGGCGCCGTCCAATCGCTGGCCCAGGAACGCCCTCACGGCGTCGAAGAGCTCTTCGTCAGGGTCAATTCCCAACACGGCCATGCCCACGACGTCGAAGCAGAGCCTCTCCGACACTGTCACCAGGTCAATCGTGACGGGATCCTCTTGTTCGCTCACCGTCATCAGAGATTCCATACATGCGTCGAGTTTCTGGTGGATCACTGGGCCTGCGGGAATTGTATTAGAATTAAATAATTTGTAAACATTTTCGACTTTGGTAACATGAAGTAAGTTGAGATTTTTCAAAATCTTCCAATCCTTAGGAAATAAATTTTTTCCCCACAGAATACTAAGATGTGGTTTTAATTATTCCTCAGTTACTGCCTCTAAATGCTGAAACATCTGTGTGTCAGATGAAAATTTCCCATAGACTATTGTAAATGTTGAAAATGTTCTCAAGTTTGGCCCACAAAAATGGAATGGGGGATTCAAGAAAAAAATCCTTCATTGTTCAGTTTAGCCCTCTGGTAGCAGGGAGTTCTTTTCTATTGTGCTTGGTGCTTGAATGGAGTTAAAGCTGAATATCATTATACATTTAATTGAATTTATAAACAAAAACAGGCTTATTTTACACCTTTTTTTTAGCATTCTCCATCAACTGTGCATAGGATAGCAAAACTCATACTTCCTGTTAGTATTTTGAGTCATTTTCAAGATAGATGATCATATTCTGTTTGGGTTTCTTTATTATAAATTTTCTGATTTGGTATCTTCAAGTTGAGACCCCATTTATTTGAGTTTTGTGGGGTTTTCAGATTTTTCCAGGAACTGGAGAACCAATGAAATGAGTTCCCATTGAAGTCTATAGAAAAATGAGGTCCAACATGTGGACATTCCAGCATAGGGACACCAAACCCTTGGGTGGCAGCAGGTTCTTTTGCATTGTGAGACAGTGCTGGGATTTATTTGCAGACCTTTGGATTTCAAATTGACTACAGAGGTCACCAAAATGCAGATTTGGTTGAGTAGCCAAAGTCTGGAAAAATCCTCAAAAAAGAAGCCTTTGTTCCCCTAATCCCTCAATTCAATCTAATGACAGGAATGCAGAAAAAATGCCACCCAACTGATACTTTTTTTGCCTGCAAATGCTTCTAAAGGAAAGCTAAAATAATTTTAGATTTTTTCCTGACTTTGGCTCTTCTGATCATTCTTGTTCCCCCATTTGTTTCTGCTCCTGGTATTATAAAATTCTGCGGATAAATCCCAGCACCGCTGCCCATGGGTTAAAGCACCACTTATGTCTGCATCTTGGGGTCTCACTGTACTCTTGACTGCCTGAAGCCTTGCTTCTTAGTTCATTTTTTTTCCCATTTCTGTGGGCACCAAAGAAATGGGGCTCTTGGGCACCAAAGAAATGGGGCTCTTGGGCACCAAAGTTTGCAAAAATATCCCAACTTCTCTAAAGAAAATTATAAGTGTCCATAAGTTGAATTTGGAGCATGTCATCAGGGCTTTCATATTTTTGGGCCCCACTGCTGTAAATTCTGTCTCTGCCACCCAAAGGCAAAGTCCCCCAGCCCCTTGGAGATGGAGGAGCAGGTACTGTATTCAGACATTCACTGTCCTAGTGAGCATAAAAATGTCCCTTTTGGGTCCAATTTTCATCCAAAGCAACTTATCCGAGAATTTTGCGAAAAAAAGACAAGTTGCTTTGGATGAAAATTGGACAACATGTCTGATTCTGATCCAAAAGTCATCCAAAAAAGGTTGTCTTCTGAATGACTTTTGGATAAAAAACGGACCAGTTTTGGAGGGATTTGGGACATCTTTTGGATAAAGATGGGACAATGTGTCCAATTTTATCCAAAAGATGTCCCAATTTCCTCTAAAACTTTTATTTTTTAATTCTGCCAAATTGTAATGAAACTTTCCACCCACCTGGGAATTTTACATTCCTTTTCACATGCATATTATTTATTCCTTCACGCTCTATTTAGCTCTTCTAGATGCTTTATTGATATTCAAATTGCATTGCACCTATTCTGTAGAATTTATGCATATTGCCAGGTTATGCATATTATCTAGTTAGTGACTGCACATAATTTCCTATCTACAATTATTCAATCACTACCACTACCTAGCTAACTTACCTATCTATGCTAGAGTATTGCTGCAAAATTATTTCAAGGAATTAAAAAGTTGCTACCTAACTGGGATTTGAACCCAAGACAAAAGCCACACGAAAAAAAAATGAGGACTCACTCAGGACTTTCCTGCAATTGACCGGCGACAACATGGACGCCAGCACCCGCCGCACCCGCTTCCAATCGCCGCCCCGCAACCCAACCAGGGACTCAGTCACGGGTTTCACCGGGATCGCGAGTGGCGGTCGATCGGGAAACACCTTGGCCGACCGAGCGACGACTCTTTGCACGTCCCTGGCGTCGCCCACGACCACCACCGGCGTCGGCCCGAAGCTCAGTCCATACACGGGACCGTGGCGGCGTTCCCAGGCCGCCATCACGTGGACAGGGCACCGTTTCGGGTCTGACCTGAGGGCGGCGAAGTGGCCAGCGATGAGAGATGGGCAAGGCGGGCCTGGGAACCCGGCGCGGGCGAGGAGGGATTGGGCGGCGCGGCGCCGCTGCCACCAGGCGAAGGCGGCGAGCAGCAGCGACAGGGATGTCAGCAGCACTGAGGCCAGCATGGCTTATTAATGGTATACAGTATACTATTTCTTTTTTTCTTTTCGTCACCTTTTCCTCGTTTTTATTTTTATTTTTTAAATGAAGTGTGTTCAAATCTTGTGCCAAATAACACCACCAGCACAAATGTATTTTTCCTCCTGCAGAAAAAAAAGGAACATTTTCATTGCTTGATGATTGAGAAATACGCATTCTTCATCTCAATTTGCACCTTCCTCAGACACACACACATAAATTCAATGCATCACAGTAAATAAAAATGCTTGAATGCAGTACAGTACTTGATCAGTACACCATTCTTTAACCCATGGATGGCAGATGGTTCCTGGCCATCCTGAGGCAAAGTTAGGTTTTTTTTGGGGGGGGGGGGGGGTCAAAAGGTCACTAAAATGTCCCCAGGTTGCCAAGGCCTAAGTTCGGAAAAATCCTGGTGTACAAAATCCCATTGTCTCAAGAAATCCCTGGTGTTAATCCCATATGTTGCTAATTCATGAAAAAATTCCACTCATGCAGAGGAATTATTTTATCCAAAATTGTCTGCAGGATTATAAATAAAAAGGTATTTGAATTTTTCTTGACTTGGCCCTTGGTTCAAAAATGTTTATTTTTTGCAACCCTTATTCTGGATGAAAAAGTTTAAGGTGTTGACATTTGTTGAAGCATGAAATTCTTATTTCCCAAAGAGTTCCTTTTGACTTGGGATTTGAATGCACGTAAGTGTGCTTTATTGCTGCGCTTGAAGTGCATTTGTACCAAGAGTGTACAGTGGCCCCCCGCATAACAGACCTCCTGTGTAAGGGATTTTTGCCAAACAGACCAGCTCTGCAAGCAGTTTTTTCTCCCACCCAACAGACAAAATCCGCCAAACAGACTTCTTTTGGTTTAAAATTAGAGTTGAAAATTGAAAATTTTAATTTTTTATGTAATTGTATTTGTGTAAAGGACTTTTTGTCTAACAGACTCGTCCCTTGCACAAATCAAGTCCATTAGACGGGGTTGACTGTAAACTGATTATGCACTCATTCATGCATGTTCTAAGTGAAACCTCTGAGAGGTTGATGAAAACCTTTGAAAGGTTAATTGTTTTTCATGCATAGTGGTGATCATTTCTCACCACCAATAATCATCAAATTGTGCAAGTGCGTGCAGGTGAATTATTCATTATAGTTATTCTTTAAGCGTTTAACCCCTGTTAATCCACTCATCTTGAACTTGAATAAACTTTATGAAAGAGAGCACTCTGTAGATTCTACCTTTGTTTGTTAAAGAGCAAATCCAAAACGTTTCTACACAAAGGTGGACCAGAAAAAGGGCAAAGACTTCCTTCTGTGCCCATCAGAAATTTGTATTTTTTGGAAAGATTGGAGCTCCAAATTTTCAGCAATACTTCAATTCCATTCTCATCAGTTCCAAACTCATAACTTCATTGAATTGCACTTGCTAAATGCGTTTTTAAACCCTTGTTTTGGTCATTTTTTGAATGTCTTGAACGTAACAACGTTTTTCAGTAACCTGAAGGAAATTTTACTTCACATGCAAAATATTCCACGCAAAAAATACTCCCAAAAACACATTAATTCATCATTTGTAAGCCCAGAAAGTTTAAAAAGTGGGGTTTAAATATTATTTCAGCCACACCATTCCTAAGAAAAACTTGCATGAACAGGTTATTATATAATTTGAATTCGACATTGTGCACGATATTTACACTTCATAAACCGAATTAATTCAGAAACTACCAACAAAAGCTTATACGAAGTGCCAATATTTTCTGAAGGTGAAACCGCATCAATATTGTGATCGCCATAGAAAAGCCAATTAATTATGAAGAGAAATTATTCCGTACACTGAAAATAATACACATATATGTGGGAATTTCCCAACGAATTAAACTGAACAATGTCTTATTGAATATCATTCACTCTATAAAAAAAAAAAAGAAAAGCCTCACTTCACTTTTTCACTGGACCAGAGCAGTTATCACGATTTCCACAGTCGTGGGCAGACTAACGCAGAAAATAACCCAGACACCCGAAAAAAGCTTCTTAAACAGCATCATTCTTTGCTTCATTGATGATATTAGTCATCAAATTCGTCCAAGTGCGTAGGGAACACAAACAATTGGACAGCTGATAAAACAATGAATCGAAACGAGTTCCAGGAAGACGGTGTTATTTTTTTCTACAGCTACATTTTTTCCAGTTATTGTCCATTGTTTTTCCATTTTCAAAAAGAATGCCTTTTTTGTTTTTTTGTCTGTCTGCAAGGAACATGTAAGTCGTTCCTTTTCGTTTTTCAGGGGTTTTCTGCGCACTTGGACGAGACAGTAATTATAAAAGACCACAATTTTCACAGCTCAGAATTCAGGGAAAAAGTGCACACGAAAAGAAAAAAACAATTTCAGGGATAATATTTTTTTGAATGAAAATATCTCTATAAACGGAATTGAAAAAATATCTGGAAGTAACTGAATGTGAATAAAATTGTCGACTCACGTTTCCAGAACCTCGATGAAATTTTGAATGACGAATGACAGCGGGGTTTTCCTTTTTTTCGCGTTCACATGTTCGGATTTTTTTATATTTTTTTATCAGTTTTCCACAAAAGGGATATCTTGATTTTTTGTTTACAAAATGGCACTGCTTTTATAAACTCCGAGAACTTGGTGTTGATTAATTTCCATTATGATTTTGCAGGGATTGAAAGAAAGATGAGAAAAACTTTTAGAATTGCTTTATGCCTCATTTATATTTTGCCACAAATTTATGTAAAAATACATGTAAATGACGCGTAAATTATGTCATACTTTTTCTTCAATCTTTGCCAAAATTCATCCAGATCACCATGAAAAATAGGCAACACCAAGAACTTAAACTTTTAAGCAGCAGTAATTTTGCTTGCTAAGTATTAGAAACCATCTATTTCTTTCTAATCATTGATCTAAAATTCTAAAAAATCTATAAAAATACGGTAAATAAAATATGCTGGAAAAATTTTATGATCTTGGTTACAATTCATCAACACCACGACGAAAAATAATCAACACCAAGATCTATCTCTAAGGTTTGAAAAAGCAATAATTTTTCTAGCTTTAGAAATACAGTAATATGTATTATCTTTTTATCTGAGAATTAATCTAAAGTTATATGTAAGCGAGACATAAATAATGCCAGAAATAAAACTTATCTGCGTCACAATTTATTATAATATCCCGACGAGAAATAACCGACACCAAGTTCTCTAAATTTTGAAAGCGCATTAATTTTACTATTTTTAGAACCAGAGTACATATTTCTGAAATTCGATCTAAAATTCAAATAAACGAAGCTTAAATTATGCCAGAAACATTCTCTGATTTTCGTTACAATTCACGGTGAAAAATATTCAACACCAAGATCTTTAAACTTTTGAAACAGCAGTAATTCTGCTCGCTTTTCCTTTTTCAAGCACATTTTGGGACATTATTTAAACCATCAGCGGCGGTAATATTTCACAATCACGCAAAATTCAAGCAGATTCCTTCACGAATTTCATTGAAATTTTTTTTGTAAAAAATGTGGAAACACTCACGATAAGAAATTTTGTTCGATTCTCATTTTTGAAATACCTTTCGGGATATTCTTTGAACCAGCTGTAGTATTTCACAATCACCCAGAATTAAAAAAGATTCCTTCATGAAGTTCATTAAAAAAAAATTGTGTAAAAAATGTTTAAACTCCCAATCATCATAATTTTGTTCGATTATCATTGTTGCAATACCTTTCGGGATATTCTTTGAACCAGTGGTAGTATTTCACAATTTTCACGTAGAATTAAAACAGATTCCTTGATGAATTTCATATAATTTGTTACTGTTCAAACTCGAGATACTTGCACTTTCGAATCATCCGGATGATTGAAAGGACTGTGTGCGACTGCCGAGCCCAAAACTGCCAAGTTAATAATTATATGATTATTTATTCTCTCTTTACTCGTCTTCTTCAAGTAACGTATAAACATTGCGTTTCTTTTGTATTCTTTGTCGTACTTCCGCGGGGGATGCGGAAAACCCGAAGGGTATTGTGTGGTTTTCCTCGCCAAGACCTGGTTCTACCTCTTCTTTTCTTTTTTTTTAAGCCGAACCCGAGAACCTGATTCTGGGTTCACCGGGTGCAAAATGCGGAAAACGGGGACGAATGAGGGTGAATATATATATTGTACTGTATAAGGATGATGGGGGTACCATGTATTTTTTGTGTCAATAATGCGCATCTGCTTGCAACAGTTGTTTTCCGCCTGGTGCTTGTTTTCCCTGGGTGTTGTATGATTTATTTTGTATGAGAACAGAGTTTTTATTTTATTTTATTTGTTTCTATCACTGGCTCTGGATTGGGTCGGAAATCTAGGGTATTATCCTTATTGTTCTGGAAGGTGACCTTATTCCATATGGTTTTGTTTTTTCTATGGGTGATGGAGTCAAGTGAGTGCTGAGCCAAGCCAAAATTTACAAGAGACAATTGAGTGGCAATTTACTGTTCTCGGAAAATTTGGATTTTGAGATGATATTACATTTGACCCCTGGTAACTCAAACCTCGGCATTTGTCAAATACTATTCTGTCCCAATTTTTTAAAAGTTCCTGATTTATATTATATATATTATAGAGTAATGTTTAATAAAGACCAGGGGTGCCCAATATATGGCACAGAGGCCAGATCTGTCCTGCATGCAGAGGTATTCAAACTGGTCCAGCACAGACCATCCCAAGAAAAATTTGTGTCAGCTTAATAGATATCCAGCAAAATTTCAAAAGTTTCCTGCTCATCTCAGCAAGTTTTATGATGCGTTTTTACTATGTTGTTTAAAAAAACTTCCACATATTATTTTCTTGAAGCTTGCATTCTACATACAAAATACACAAGAATAAGTTAGTGAGCAGGGAATAAGTTAGTTTTTTGCATTATTATAATGCAATTTTATTTTTTATCAGAATAAAACATAACCTGTCAACCAAAAAAGCTCCATCGACTGGTTGAATAAAATGTGTTTATACTTGAACTGGAGTTTTTCTGAACGAAAAAAAAATTTTCTCGCGCAATCGCACTGAATGAATAAGGAACTTTATTTATTTTTTTATATACTGTATTTTGACACTCGAGTATCTACGTTTTCTAAAACAACGTCATTGTTCGTGTGAAAATCGCACTTCAAATCACTTGGCTCGAAATACGCGAAACTATGCATTAAGAAATCCCGCGCATCGCAACCCGATCTCCTTCACAGAAATTCCAAGAGAAAATTCACTTACCACGAGTTGTAGAAGGAAAACGTAAATTCACGGTTCCTTGTCCTTGTTATCGAAGGATTTTTCTTCGGTCTGCTTCGCAGTAATTTTTTCCGCGTTGAAAAAAGGAAAAAAAAAGCGTCTGCAAATCTTCATGTCTCATGGTCAGGTCAGGTTATTTTCGAATCTTTGAAAATATGGGCAGAGATGCTATAAACTGATGACACGACGCTTGAAATGTTTCTAAATTGAGAATTGTACAAAACATCGAGTTTCTTCGCACTTGTTTTCAATGACAACACTGCGTATGTCTCAACGTACTGTTCCTGATTATAAATGAGAGCTTACTATCCTATGAACCTGGAAGCGCGCGATCTTCATTGCAAAATACTCTAGGTAGATGTCGCTACTACAAAATGCGTAAATTCCACCCCCATCATTTTTTCTCAAAATTTTGCTGCTGGTACAGGTGGTACTACCTTGCAATGCAACCCTAATCCATTGCCAAGATAGGGTAGAATTGCAAAGTGGTCAAAATGTAATGAAATGTCAATTGGCATGTTTTCTATTCATGGCATTTAATATTTCATGGCTCTTTGGCAGGTCAAATTGCGGGCCAGCAGGGCTGAAATGAGAGTTGGCCTCCCAGCAAATCCAACTTTGAAATTTCAGGAAGTGCAAGAGGTCAAATTGCAATATACCACCTGTAGCTAGGAAAGAGTTTCCTTGAGGATGGGTCTCACCTCTCATACTCTGATGAACAGTTGAAAATAAAGTAACTTGACTGTAAAAATATATCGTGTGAGGATTTTGAGAGAAAAAAAATCTGCAATGTGTGAGAAAGTCTGTGTTTCAAAAAGTAAATTTCTGCATTTTCAGCAGACAATAACCCATTGCATATACGTAATGTAATTTACAAATGCTCTTCTGCTTCTCTGGTAAGTATTTTTCTGAAATGATTCTAAAATCAGAAATTTCAAGCATAGTTATCTGCATTCTGTAAACGTTTCGGCAAATCGCGCCTGAGTTTAGGAAATATTCGCAATGCAAAATTGTACTCACGTGTACTCAATGATGTAACAGCAGGTATTATTTGTGAGCACAATTTTTCTTTTTGTTCACAACAATATCACTGTTTCATGTGTTTTCTGATTGTGGCAAGATCTGGTATGATTGAGTCAGCAGCATATTTATCCAAACTATAAACAGGTAGAATGTGTTCAATTTTTGCCTAAGAAGAAATAGTCACTGGTCTCTTTCCATGGAATGGTTATTATAAATAACTGGATCACAATTGCAATGTACAGAATATAGACTTTCACAAACCAACCATATGGAGACAGCTGCATTTTAGAACTATTGAAATGAATATAGGAATGTTTGCAAAATTACTGTATTTACTTGAGTACCACGCACCCTCAAGTAAGGCACACACAGGGGTTTTTCAGTTGGAAATTTTGATAAAATCTTATCCCCAAGTAAGACACGCACACCAATTTTTATTGAATCTAAAATCAAAAAATTTTGAAAATAAAAACCTAAATTTGTACTTCAGACATGAATTGAAAAAAATACGATCAATTTTCAAATTTTTCAGTACAAAAAGGTTTTCTTGTTAAATTGGTTTGAAATTTCTCCGTTAAAATTAAGTATAGTGCACCCATAATACTGTACTTCCTAAATTTTCTTGAAAAATTTGCACCCGTTTATGACACGCACCTTATTTCTTCTGAAATTTGAGAAAAAAGGTGCACGTGATGGTACTCAAGTAAATACAGTACTATATCAAATGAGACATAAGTTCATCACCAATGAAACTGTTGAAAAACTATGAATATTTTCAATTATTATTTTTTAGGAGGAAAATAAATGGATTTGCTGCAATTTAGTTCTAATTTCAGAGCATTAAAAATTCTGGAAAATCATCAAGAATCCTTTTTTCTTCTCAGTAAAAATATAGCTAAAAATTTCACTGCTTGCTCTCTACTCCAAGATTTTTCCGGCGAATATTCATGTACGTGCATTACTACTTTTTTTGTTCCTTCGCGGTAGAGAAAGTTCGTTTGAGAAATGGACAATGCAGTTTTCCAGTGAGAAAAATACATGATTTTGAAAAACTTTCTGCGCTGTTTATTCAATGGAATGTTTCCTGAAAGTTTGGACTGCTTTAATTATGGAAATGTAAAATTTAAAAATGGCTGTAGGCCTTCTTTTCTATCCCAAAAATACTTTTTAGCAGATTTTCAAGCTTTTGGAATATAAACTATCTCTATGTCTTCAAAGAAAGTGTCAGATTTTTATACAGGTCGAGAAAAGCGGGAAAATCCGCACATGCATTAAAAAAAAACTTCATGCGAGGAACAGCAAAACAACTTGATTTTACGTTCAATAAAAAGAGGAAATTATTTCACCTGGGGCTATTTGGAATTGTGTAAAACTTACAAATGTTGTCGGTGATGCTGTTTTGGTCTCCTTGTCATCGCAGAATTTTTGCAAATAAAAAACCTACTCATGTAAAACACATTCCCTATGTATCATCTCCTAAGCTCAATTCGTTTATAAACACAAGGAAATCTTTGGATAGAGCAGTTTTTTTTTAGAGAGAAAAGTGTGTGTAATACTTATTCTTAATGGTTTGTCATTTTTATTGATGAAATCATTCATATCCAATAGCCATGAATCGAAATCTACATGAAAAAAATTTATGCGAAGGAAAGTCGAGACGAGCTACAGAAATTCCACCCCTCCTCTTAAAAAAATTAAAAAAAAATTACTTTCCAGTGATAAGACATAAAATTTCCATGCGCTTTTCGGAATTTTCTCTTGTGAATATTTTCAGGAAGCCCGAAATCAAAAATATATAAGAGGTGCGCATTTTTTTTTAATACAAAGTCTTTTCGGGAAAAATTGCGCAGTATAACAAACACAGAAAAATGCGAGAGCTGGACGAACCGTGTTCACCCATGAATTGAAGGGCTCGTATTTCGGGATCCCAGCCTTTTGTTGCTCTGCCCCGGTACAAACAAAACTTCGGTGATGATGCCAGTAATTTTTTTTTATTGCAAATAAAATACAATTTAAGCAAAAAAAAATTGCGAAGAAGGAGGAGCACACGAGACGACGACTTTTCGTGGGTGTGGGATTGGTGCGTGGACAAACTCGAGTCTCCTCCTTTTTGGGCAACCAACAAATGTTGATTGGTTCTTATTTTCCTTTGTTGTTTCATTCAATTCAGGAGGGGAGGGAATAACACGGATCTCGTTTTATTCACAAGAAATGAATCAATGCTCACGTTTTCTTTTTTTTTAATAAATTTTCTTAGCAGATTTTTTTTTTTTTTTTTTTCGGTGCGGGCGAGAAATTTGCGGAGTCATTCTGACGGGAAACACGAGGCTGCTCACCATTGATGTTTTTCAGACTTCTGGATTGTTCCAAAAGTTCTGCAGACAAAATTCGCAATGCATGATTTCTTATCAAAGATCCTCTCTAATTTCTTCATTCAATTAAACACATAAACCTCATACAGAAACAAGCTGAAGACCTTGTGCTTTAAATTATTTTTTACATATATTTTGTTTTCAATGTCAGAGAATGAATGGGTGTATGCATACATGTCAGATGTCCAGTTGTATTTCATGGATTGTATTTTCTTTAATTTTTGTTATCAATTTGTGCTCTGTTTCCTGCTCTGAAGTGATTAAATGTCATTGAGTGAATTTGGGCTGGGTGGGAAGGGGTTCGGTTGTGGAAATCTTGATTGAAACTTGTGAATGCTGACAAGCGGCAAATAAAGTGTTCTGTTCATTCATTCATTCACTGATACTTGAAAGAAATTTGATGATGGCACCTATACAAGTACTGTATGTCAAGAATCAATTGAAATTACCATTTGAACACGTTCTACAAGAAATTTCATCATTCTCTATCATTTGTAATTTTTAATTTAGACCTATTCCTCTCTCAGGTTCTCAAACAGAGGTCTTATTTTTTGAAGAAAATGAAACAATTGATTTGTTTGGTGCATTAAATTGAGTTGACATGGCTGAACTTTGAGGCAAGGATTCATTTGCACAGATTCTTTTACTTCCTTTCAAAGGACATCAAGTCAAATTTTGCCTGCTTTTATTTTTCCTGTGACAATAAAATAATAGCCAAAGGGCTTCCATAAACTTAGAGTTATGGAGATTCAAGGGGGGAAGCCTTAGAGATTTGTTGGTTTTTAAGATAACTGCAAAAAGGTACTTTAAAAAAATTGACATCGGAAGGTATTCGACTTGAGGAGGTTCCAGTTATCGTGGTCCAACACTGTGCATTTTTTCAATCATTGTCAAAAATCTCTTGCGATTCTTTTCAAAATTCCCTCACGCGTATTAATTACTTTAAAAAAAACGGTAACCGAACTTTGTACATTGGAGATGACCATTTCGTGACTGGAATACAGGATTATCACACGTTGCATAATTAAATACTGCCCGCAGCTTCCGGAACAGAAAAGTACGACGTGCTGATTATCGGTGGCGGCCTGGCCGCCGTCCGCACTGCGAAAGCCGCCGCGAAATACGGGCGAAGGGTTCTCTTGTGCGCACACAACTATGACGACGAATTGCTTGTGGCTGATTGCGTGGACGCCGTCGACGGAACGCTTTTCTCAACAGGTAATATAGTAATAAGTCGAGTAAAAACCTTTTTTTTCTGCAAAAAAAATATGCCCATATACTGACTTCAGCTCCATCTCCATCATAAGAATCCTGGTGGGACACGCAGCTGGTGTCAAGAATAAATCCTTGACAAATGAAGATGTTTAAGAAATGAATTGAGTTTAGAAGGATTTGACTTTAGATGAGAATGAGTATAAAACAACAGAATTTGGTCGGGCTATGACCTGGAGGAAATTTCACCCTATTTTAAGGGTGTTGTAATTCAAGAACACAGTCAACACATGCAATATTCACAAAAAGGCTGGAGTGTCTGGTATGAGAGCTCAGAAATAGTGAGTATTTTGATGGATTCAGAACCCAGGAAAACTGTCTCCTCCAAGAACAAATAACAGAACCAGGATTTGGCAATAAAAAAAACAGCCTGGGAGGCTTCCAGAAAATGTGTGTGTGAACCAAAATTGTCCTGCTTGGTTCACACAGAGATGTACAAGGACAAGTTTTTCTGAGAATTTGGATTCTTCAGTTCTTTAGTCAGCCTAGCAAATTATACTACAGCATTTTATTTTTGCAAAAGCTGGAACATCCCCTAATTTTTTTGTGAGACCAAATATTTCTTGAGTTTTTGGGAAGCTTTATAAAACTAAATTTAACCTGTTTAACAAAACTGCGTTTTTATGCACAAATGGCTTTTTGTAAAAAAAAATAATAATTTGTTCTGCAAAACATATGCCCGTGCAGCAGACTTCCACTCAGTCATCAGAATCCTCACGCAACACGCGGCTGAAATATTCCGTAATTTTTTTTTTTTGTGAGACCAAATATTTCTTGAGTTCCCAGGAATTTTTTAAAAACTAAATTTAACCTGTTCAACAAAACTGAGTTTTTATGCACAAATGGCTGTTTGTAAAAAACTTTGTTATCACTGGAAACATAGAGATGTAAGTGCGTCTCCTTTTAATCAAGGTTTGGAAATGATTAAATACTAAAGTCTGTACCAGACAAAAATGGTCTTTATTCAAATGCTCAGTATATACACACAGTATTAACCACAAGACACAGGGATCTTTTGGGACAAGATGACTTCTGAACTGTACTGTCTCCTGAGCTAAAATGCCTATCTTCCTTAATCCTGCCAGGGCTTTATANTAAATACATTAGTTTGTGCATCACCAGAGCACCTTCTCTTCTTATGTCCAGCATTTCACACTGATCGAAACAAGAAAGATTTACAAGTATTGGAATTCAATGAAGAGACCCTTTCTGAAATCTTAAAGGATCAAGATAAACTGTTAGCCTTGTATGATTTCTCTTCAAAGATTCTCCCTAATTTGTTCATTCAACTAAACCTCATACAGAAACAAGCTGAAGACCTTGTGCTTTAAATTATTTTTTACATATATTTTGTTTTCAATGTCAGAGAATGAATGGGTGTATGCATACATGTCAGATGTCCAGTTGTTTTTCATGGATTGTATTTTCTTTAATTTTTGTTATCAATTTGTGCTCTGTTTCCTGCTCTGAAGTGATTAAATGTCATTGAGTGAATTTGGGCTGGGTGGGAAGGGGTTCGGTTGTGGAAATCTTGATTGAAACTTGTGAATGCTGACAAGCGGCAAATAAAGTGTTCTGTTCATTCATTCATTCACTGATACTTGAAAGAAATTTGATGATGGCACCTATACAAGTACTGTATGTCAAGAATCAATTGAAATTACCATTTGAACACGTTCTACAAGAAATTTCATCATTCTCTATCATTTGTAATTTTTAATTTAGACCTATTCCTCTCTCAGGTTCTCAAACAGAGGTCTTATTTTTTGAAGAAAATGAAACAATTGATTTGTTTGGTGCATTAAATTGAGTTGACATGGCTGAACTTTGAGGCAAGGATTCATTTGCACAGATTCTTTTACTTCCTTTCAAAGGACATCAAGTCAAATTTTGCCTGCTTTTATTTTTCCTGTGACAATAAAATAATAGCCAAAGGGCTTCCATAAACTTAGAGTTATGGAGATTCAAGGGGGGAAGCCTTAGAGATTTGTTGGTTTTTAAGATAACTGCAAAAAGGTACTTTAAAAAAATTGACATCGGAAGGTATTCGACTTGAGGAGGTTCCAGTTATCGTGGTCCAACACTGTGCATTTTTTCAATCATTGTCAAAAATCTCTTGCGATTCTTTTCAAAATTCCCTCACGCGTATTAATTACTTTAAAAAAAACGGTAACCGAACTTTGTACATTGGAGATGACCATTTCGTGACTGGAATACAGGATTATCACACGTTGCATAATTAAATACTGCCCGCAGCTTCCGGAACAGAAAAGTACGACGTGCTGATTATCGGTGGCGGCCTGGCCGCCGTCCGCACTGCGAAAGCCGCCGCGAAATACGGGCGAAGGGTTCTCTTGTGCGCACACAACTATGACGACGAATTGCTTGTGGCTGATTGCGTGGACGCCGTCGACGGAACGCTTTTCTCAACAGGTAATATAGTAATAAGTCGAGTAAAAACCTTTTTTTTCTGCAAAAAAAATATGCCCATATACTGACTTCAGTTCCATCTCCATCATAAGAATCCTGGTGGGACACGCAGCTGGTGTCAAGAATAAATCCTTGACAAATGAAGATGTTTAAGAAATGAATTGAGTTTAGAAGGATTTGACTTTAGATGAGAATGAGTATAAAACAACAGAATTTGGTCGGGCTATGACCTGGAGGAAATTTCACCCTATTTTAAGGGTGTTGTAATTCAAGAACACAGTCAACACATGCAATATTCACAAAAAGGCTGGAGTGTCTGGTATGAGAGCTCAGAAATAGTGAGTATTTTGATGGATTCAGAACCCAGGAAAACTGTCTCCTCCAAGAACAAATAACAGAACCAGGATTTGGCAATAAAAAAAACAGCCTGGGAGGCTTCCAGAAAATGTGTGTGTGAACCAAAATTGTCCTGCTTGGTTCACACAGAGATGTACAAGGACAAGTTTTTCTGAGAATTTGGATTCTTCAGTTCTTTAGTCAGCCTAGCAAATTATACTACAGCATTTTATTTTTGCAAAAGCTGGAACATCCCCTAATTTTTTTGTGAGACCAAATATTTCTTGAGTTTTTGGGAAGCTTTATAAAACTAAATTTAACCTGTTTAACAAAACTGCGTTTTTATGCACAAATGGCTTTTTGTAAAAAAAAATAATAATTTGTTCTGCAAAACATATGCCCGTGCAGCAGACTTCCACTCAGTCATCAGAATCCTCACGCAACACGCGGCTGAAATATTCCGTAATTTTTTTTTTTTGTGAGACCAAATATTTCTTGAGTTCCCAGGAATTTTTTAAAAACTAAATTTAACCTGTTCAACAAAACTGAGTTTTTATGCACAAATGGCTGTTTGTAAAAAACTTTGTTATCACTGGAAACGTAGAGATGTAAGTGCGTCTCCTTTTAATCAAGGTTTGGAAATGATTAAATACTAAAGTCTGTACCAGACAAAAATGGTCTTTATTCAAATGCTCAGTATATACACACAGTATTAACCACAAGACACAGGGATCTTTTGGGACAAGATGACTTCTGAACTGTACTGTCTCCTGAGCTAAAATGCCTATCTTCCTTAATCCTGCCAGGGCTTTATATACCAAAGGATTTGGGGGTACATTCAGAAGGGGAGTAAGATGCCTGTGTGCGCCTGTGCAGGTGTTGTTTAACAACTTCCACACACTGGGGATTCTGTGCAGTTAGGGGGTTGCCATGCACTGTTGTTGGGGGTACGTGCGCATGTCTGTCAGTTGTCAGGGGTCCATGCACGTTTCTGTCAGTCTGTGTCTGTCAGTCCACGTGTACTGGGATGGAAGAATATTAATATCTTTCATATATTAATCTATTATCTCTTCCTGGTGTTATGAATAACACCAAGTATCTATATTTGCTTGACAGCAAATATTCTTGCAATATATATCGGGGAATTATCATATAATTTCCACAGATAACAACTTTTTTCTGCAAAAAATATGCCCATATACAGAATTCCGCTCCATCGTCAGAATCCTTGCGGGATACACGGCTGAAATATTCCAAATTTTTTTTTTTGTGAGACCAAATATTTCTGGAGTTCCCTGGAAGCTGTTTAAAAAGTAAATTTAGCCTGTACAACAAATTGCGTTATATGCACAAATGGCCTTTTTTATATTTGTTCCGCAAATAAAATATGCCCATGCAGACTTCCGCTCCGTCATCAGAATCCTCGCGCGACACGCGGCTGAAATATCTCGCATGATACTCTCTGGTGAACCATCCGCGTTCGGTTGGCAACTCCAGCAGTCATCAGAGGTGTCCAGTCAGATGAGTCCTCATCATCAGCACCAGCAGCAGCAGCAGGAATCGACACCGACGACACTGCGCCACAACTGGCTCCAGTTCACGCAGAATGCCAAAGCCCTGATGGAGACAACAACTCGCAGAGAAGCCGTGGAAGACCTGGAGCAATACGGAGTCAATATCCTCAGGTCCTTGCCCTCGGTTATCGATGCCAACACAGGTGAAAAAGAATATACTACAGTGTATGAGGAGAGCGAATAAAAAAAAAAATCTGTCAATCTCCCAGCAGATGACGCATGTCAATGGGCAGAAAATTAAGATCTGGTCTATTTATAGACCAGGGTTCCCCAACCTTTTTGGGCCTATGTGGACCAGCAGATTTCCATAAAATTCTTTGCGAACCAGCAAATTTCCACAAAAAAATTATGCAGACTAGCTAAGTTTCATAAAATGTTCGCAGACTCAAAAAAAAGTTTTGTTTGAAAGGCAGGCATTTGAAAAGTTTCTGCTTTTTTGCAAACATTAAGTCAAGAATCAATGAAGCAACTTTAGTGGACCGTGTCTTCAAAAATTAGAAAGGTGGGCTTGAAGGAAGATTTTTCTAAATGAAAATAAATACGGTATTACTTATTTCAGCAGGGGAAAATTTGCTTGAAGCATTATTAGGAGAAAAGCCAACTTTTATTTTTTGTCCAATAATTTAAACTACCATTGTCTTTCCAACTTTTAAAATAAAGATAGCAGACTTCATTGCTACTTTTGATAATTTATTACCATTAAGAATATTTCCTGCAGACTGGCAAAAAAACTTCTGTGGACTTGCACTGCTTATTGTGGACCATGGGCTGGGGGAAACACTGCTGTATAAACAGTTCAAGTTTTGATGACATAATAAGCTTCAAAATGGCAATCATTTGTACCTGGGCAGGATCTTGTGACAGCAAAGCCATTATTCGGACCAGGAAAAATACATTTGTTAAAAGACAATTCTTGAGCAATATCCCCACAAAAGGGAGGAAATGAAACATTGACCTTTCAGCATTCCATATTCCAAGTACAGTACTGTACAATACAGTTAACCCTCAGTTAACATACCAACATGGTTCCTGACAAAATTTAGGGTACCAAACTCAAATTTTCCATAGTCTCCAATAAGTTGATTGGTTTCCTGGTTGTCAAAGGACAAATGATGACTTCATGAAATAATGGATCATTCCTCAGCTACAATTAAATTGCCTTTATCAAAAGTGTCCTGCAAAGGAAATCATTAGTCATTTAAACAATTTTTTGTCACGGTTCAAACAGCGTTGTTTGGATTTATAATTTTGATAAGTATAATTTCCTAAATTTTTCTCAAGTTCGATTCGACGAAGGCAAAAGCGTCAGAACGGAGTGCCTTGTCCTGGTGCCAGTGATGCGGCCAAAAATCCCGGAAATCCCCGGGATAAAAGAATTCAGCACACCTGTCGAGTCCATGTTCCACGTCAAACACGACCCCGGGAAAACCCTCATCATTGGGGCATCGTCATCAGCACTGGAAGCTGCTGGGCTTCTTCGGAGCCTATCCCCGGGATAAAAGAATTCAGCACACCTGTCGAGTCCATGTTCCACGTCAAACACGACCCCGGGAAAACCCTCATCATTGGGGCATCGTCATCAGCACTGGAAGCTGCTGGGCTTCTTCGGAGCCTCGGGCACCAGGTTTCAGTTATGGTTCGCACCCGGGCTCTGAAGGGACATGATGTGGAAATGTCAGAGTTGATTGTTGGACACCTCGAGGGCATGGGAGTGGAATTCATTGTGAGAAATACTGGCTATTGTCTACTTATATATGTTCTATGAATGTGCGATGAGGGTTGTCCCAGTTCCACACGAAACTTGAATATTCCAACCATCCTTCAAAATAAAAACTAAACAAAACTTCCCCACAATGTTTTATAAATCTTGTACTTGATTATACTGTACTTCCAAAGATTTATTTCCAATGCACTGCATGATGAGAAAAAAATCTTTCAGATGTAATAAAGTTAGATCTTACCAGTACTCATGTCACACTGTGCGCAAAATGTTTAAAAAAAAAAAAAAAAAAAAAAACCTGTCTCTAAACAGTAAAATGTTTTATCTCCGGGGATTCTAAAAAATAATTCTAAAATGAGGAATTCTTTTCATAGCGACTCATGGATATTTGAAAACATATATACATCTGAAATATTGTGAGAAAAGTTCAGAATAATAAGCATTGTAAAGTTCTCATTTATTCAGACAAAGTATATTTTGCAATACTGTGCTGAATTTTATTTTGAGAAAACTTGGCACTTTTGATGAACAAGTTATACTTTTCCCGTTTTCTTCACATATCAAATGATTCTAGTGACCGACTCATCATAGATATACTGTAGGGAAAAAAGTCGTTATAATGAGATTTCACCTAATAATTAGTACTGTATGTTATTAAAAGGAGATTATTATGTAGCATTGTTCCTATTGATGAACTGCTGGGATCAAGAAAAATTTATTGAAACAAGATTTGTTGCAATGGAAATTAATTGCATCAATTAATTTTCTCAAAGTGTGTGGAATTTTTATAGTTTGTGAATGATTATGCTTTCAACAACAAAATTATTACAGGTAGACTCAATCTCTACAATAATAATCTTGTCCACAACAATTTCATCCGTAGAACAATTTTTTTGTTTTCATACACGGGTATACTTATTTTCTCAACAGCAAAATTGTCTCTGCAATGATTTTTTTCTGGTCCCCTGAATTTTGTTGTGAAAATTGTGTCTAAAATCTCCATAAAACAGTACAGTACTATGTAGAACACGGAATCAAACTCCGACATTAAATTTTTCATTTTATTTTCATCACCATCAAAAGGATAATCGCGATGTTTTGACATTCACGATATGTTTCGCAAACAAAGCCGGCATTTTTTCACGGATGTCTCGAATTTTCTGCACAGCGGAATCATGCGGTAACGTGTGTGGAAAAGATTCACAGCGCGACGACGGAACCGACAGATCTTCCACAGTTGCGAGTCCACTACAATGACAAGACCACTCAAAAGGGATTTTTCAAAGACTTCAACACAGTGCTCACTTCGGACGGGCAAATCGCGACCGTAAATGGGATTGGGCTGGACGAACTCGGGATGACCCGGGATTCACAAACTGGGAAAGTTGTGGTTGATGAAAACCAGCGCACTTCCGTTGGAGGTACAGTACATCATTTTCTTTCTTTTCAACTCGAGAGAAAGAAAACGTCGCGGCTACCCAGTGAAATATTGTACTTCCAAAATCGGAGAAAAGGAAGGGCCAAATCATCTTACAAATCACACTTCTGTTTCTTTCAAACCTTTTCCCCAAAAATTAAAACATCTTTGTTTGAGAACATAAATTTATGCCAGCAATTTTATATCATTAATTCTCTGAATATGATTAAAATTCAGCCAATCACAATAAGCTACAAAGCAAAGATTACTCATATTTAATGTTGCACAATATGCACAAAATATTCCTGAATCAGTATCACAATAAGTTTTTTCCAAAATGAATCCTTTTCAAAGAAGGTTTGACAAATTATAAATACATTGATATAATGTACAGTTGAACCTCTCTAAGTTATAAAGGGAATAGGAGAAAAATTTGACTTAGGGAGGTTTTGATGTTTTGAGTAAACAAAACAAAGATTTTTGCTGCAGGAGCAATAAAAAATTGTGGGAAATTTTAGATGAGGATATTCTGGACCTGAACTTGCTTCTTCATGAGTTTACAGCTTGCTGAACTTGGAGGCATGGGTTACTTTGTTCAATTAGTCTTTCACTTCATTTCAAGATGCATATAATTATTTGTTTTATTGATTTTCTCTTTTATATTTCAAGGAAATAATAACCAAAAGGCCTCAGAAAATTCAACTTACAGAGGTTTGAGAGAAACATACTTTGAGTTAGAGAGGTTTTTAATGCATTGTTTCCAAGGGAATCCAAACATGGACTTGAAAAACAATTGGAGTTTGGGAGGTATTTGACTTAGGAAGGTGTGATTCAGCAAGGTTCACCTGTATTAAAAATTGTCTGCTCTTTTTCGAAAATCAATACGTAATATTATATTTCGTGAGATAAAGGTTTTTCAACTTTTGTAATTGCATCCCTTATTACATGATGTAAAAAAAGTTTGCGTATTATACCAATTAATTGGGCATTTAGATACCAGTTGATTTTTTCTGCAAAATTCACACTCCGCATAGTCGCAATACTCGCAAATTAACATCGCAAATTCTGGACCAATTGCCTCAGTACATTTTCTTGCTTGGTCACAAATATTTTCATCCACTTCTTTAAATTTACAATTCATTATAAGAACAATAGGAAGTCTCGAGTACGAACAATGTAAAAAGATGTCTGGGTTCTTCTCCTTCTCGTGACATTTTTTTTCTTTTTCGTTTTGTCTGTGGGCATTCTTTTTTTTTCATTTCAACAGGCATCTACGCTTTGGGCGGAATTACAAACAACCCAGCACCATTCCTCAGCAACACTGAACACAGTGCTGAACTGCTATGCGACCGTCTCTTCGGCTCATCCAACGTCGTTTGCAATTACGACCACGTCCCACGGGCAGTTTTCACGCCATTGGAATACGGGTTCGTGGGCGCCACAGAAGAATCAGCCCTGGAGTCACTCGGACCCGAAGGCGTGACCATTTACCAGAACAGATTCAAACCAATTCATTTCAACTTGATGGACTTGAACGGGATCGAGGAGTTTTGTTACGTCAAGGTCATTTGCGATAAACACGATGACGAGAGGATCATAGGACTTCACATTTTGGGGCACAAAGCTGCTGAGATGATCCTGGGTGAGCAGCTGTCGAAATTTGTAGATTCAAATATTCAATTCAACCACGCATCATGAGTAACCAAGGTCGGAAAGTATATAGCAATATCCAGCGCGATAAAATCGTGTAAAATATCTCTTTCAGTGAGTAAAAATATCTCTCAATGATTCATGTTATTGATTCATGAACAGGATACGCAGTGGCCATGTCATTAGGAGCCACGAAGAGTCAGCTTGACGATTCCATAAGCCTTCATCCGACCGCAGCTGAGAATCTGAGTAGGACAATTCGTCGCATTTCCCACAAATGCTGCAAAAGCGGTTTCAGCACAATGAAAAACGACGACCGATGCTGATAATCAGCCAGTCAGAAAATCGTTTTTCGAGAAGACGAGGACTGTCGACAGGCAATTCGCTATCAATGACGGGGAACAGAAAAAGATTTCCAAAAGGAAAAGCTGTTTCTCTGAGTCGTCGTCGATCCTGTCCTTATCGTATCTTTTTACACCCAGAATCAATCATCATTTCAATAACTTTTACTCTCGTGACACTGATAGTAGCAGTCGACGAAAAATTATGCAGCATGAAATGCATTCATGTCCTAATTATATGATACAGAAGTTTTAAAAAATTTTGGACAGATAAAAATCAAGACAATCATTCAATGTACTGCGATCCATTTTTTGTCTCCGGGGAAAATGGTTTGAAACGTGGCAAAAAGTAGAAATGTAGATGATACTTACCGATGCGAAAAACCCAAAAAAAAAAATAACGAGATGCACATCATCGTTATCTCCTTTCATTCTTTCGACGCAACTTTCGCAACCAATTTCTCCGGAAAGTCCCGTTTATTTGCCTTGAAGCACGGAAGACAAATACGACGCTCGTAGAACACACTACAGCCCGGGTTCTGGCAAACTTGTTGATCGCAGACACTGCAGTCTGAACCCAAAACGACGAATAAACCTTCGCCTCGGGGAACAAATGGATCCTTGTTCACGTAACTGTCTTCTTTAAGCCAGACAGTTCGCTTGAACGGCGGGTTCCGACCTTTGTAGTGGAAGGGCTCCGTGAATTCGCATTGGGAGCAATGAAAGATCTTCTTCGCGTCTTCCTCTATCCTGAAAGGCAAAATGAAATACTTAATCTCGTGTTTGGGATAATTAAAGGCATACGCTGAATTACCTCGCACTCAGACGTTTGGAATATTCCGAGCCATCGTCCATTCTGTGAAAATCTAATGAGAAGTCACTTGTGATTACAAAAACCACTCGGAACTTTCGCTCGAATTACGGTAATAAACGGAAGACGCCAATTTCCGCTCCAAAACATCTTCAGGGGTCATTAATTTCCATTCCAGAGATGCTTCAAGTAGTAACAGAAACACGAAACATAACGCGTAGAGAGATTCGGAGACGGGAGAGAACTCATTTCCCCAGCATGTACAATCCTTCCACCGAATTCTCGCGATACTACTTCAGCACGTGAACCCACAGAAGACAATACACTTTTTTCAACTCTTGCACTCGACTCGGCACAAAATTCATGGGCAATTCGTTCCAATATTTCAAGAAGATCCTGTGTTGAACGAGAGTGCCTACCTGTAAGTACAGGAGATGCTACAATAGTCATGCAATTTTTTCGGTTCGAAAATGGTTCATATGGCGCCCTTAATTAGGCGCAAAAAGAATTTTCCAGTTCCTTCATTAATCCCAATGAAAAGCCGTTTTTTCTTTGCGGCAGCCACGTTTTTATCAACAGTTGTGTTCAGGAGTTTTCCAGACTAAATTTGTGGATTTCATGTTTTCTTCGTCTTGACGTTGGTCAACCATCAAGAAACAATTGCTAGCCTACGTCGTTGATTTCCGCGTTATTTTTCATTTATCGGGGGTACGACTTTGTAATCTGTCAAGGGAAAAAATCTCTGATTTTCATGAAGTGAGTTGTAATGCTTCTTTCAAACTTTTCAATGGAGAGGGAAATGGAAATATTCCCCAAGATGGATTCACATGATGAGAAAAACCTCACATTCCTGATGTGTGAATAGAGAAAGTTCATACAGGGATCGAAAATAGCATGACTTCCGTCGCATCTTTAGAACTGAGTTTTCCAATAAAACTGCGGAAATTTACGATGATGTGGGCGAGTAATCATCAGATGCGGGAATTGTGGTCGATAACTGAAGGCGCAATTGCAGTTGTCAAAAGCAAGCAACTGCATCGGACACGTAGATTGAACATGAATTGAATGCTGCGCAGTCGATAGAAGCTCTTCTTTTCCTCAAGGAAATGATTTCGATTTTTATCCACACACGAAACGAAACAATGAACAAAATATTTTGCATCACAGACGTTCTTCCGAAATTCGTTCCCTCTCAATATACCCACGCACAAAGGACAAACACCCGAGTTCGTTCCCGAATGCGAGAAGACGACGTGCTTGTTAGAAACGTAGCAAAAAGTATGGTGGACGAAACGAGCTTCCGAGGATCAGCAAATGCTACAACCCTTGGACAGGGGACTCTGAATCAAAGCCGAGTCTTGTCTGCGGCTCAGCTTGACAGTTTTCGGCTTCGGACTCGAGCCCGATGGCAACTTGAACTTCTTCGAACTGCGGCCTGCGCCATTGCTCAAATAGCTCGGAACGTAAGGCACTTTCGGACACATCATCGCGTAAGACTTCAGTTCCGACTTCACGGAAACGGGCAATGGCAGTTGGTCAATTCCGTAGACTGATGTGTGAGACACTATCGTCCGGCAACATAACTCCTCCAGGCTTAAGACTGCGCAAAAAATTAAATTTCTTATACTACGTGACCAACCTGACTGAACGAAATTGTCGCATCACGGTAGTGACCCTTCAGATTAATCCTCAATTATTCCAGCTAACCATAGTGGAATATTACGATCTTACAATAAAGACCTGAAATGACACCTAGTGACCCTATCAAAAATTCAAAAACCTTCTGATTATTAAAAAGGTAATGCGCAGCAGCGCAGGTCAGTTACGCTTTCTGTGGTTAGTCACGCATTACTCATAAACATAGTTAACATCAAGGTCAGTCGCGCTTTCAATGAAGGTCGATTAGGGACTGTAAGAGCACGTGAAATAGATTCACAAAATAAGTCGGAATAATAAAGACACGTCACATCACCTTTGTTTGACCGCCACAGACGCTCCATTCCATTTCGACTGAGAGCCAACCGAGAAAGTTCGGCGAAACTTTCGATCACATTGAAATCACACAGTGGAGAGATCTCGAAGAATGTCATAGCGTTCTTCTTCGCGTATTGGGCTGCCACGCAGGGTCCAACCTGGCGCTTGTACGCCAGGTGAAGACGGTTGCCGATCAGAACTTTTGGAATTCCAGGAGCATGCTAAAAACAGAAGTGAGCATATGAAAGCATTAGAATCACTTACTGTAGATTGAAAGCCAAAAAAAAAATGTGCTTACCTCGTCAATTTCTCGAAGCCATCTATCAAGGCTATCGAAAGACCACTTGTTGGTGATATCGTAAACGAGAAGAATTCCTTGCGCTCCTCGCGAGTATGAGCGAAGGATAGTGCAAAACCGACCCTGTCCAGATGCATCCCAAACCTGCAACTTGACCCGCTTTCCATCCAGTAGAATTGTCATGGTTTTGAAGGCAGGAAAGTAGGCATTATCTGAACAACCGCAAAAATTTCTCACATGAACACCATACATGATCTCAATAATACAATAAAAAACAATGCACACCTCCCCCTCCGCAGTAAGGCATCTCACTGCGACCATCTTCGAAGCCACCTAAAATTTCTTCTTTTCCAACATCACTGTCTCCCACCAGCAAAAACTTGAACAAATAGTCATATTCCTTCTTGTCAGGCATGTTTGCGCAGTGGAATACAATATCCAACACGAGGAAGCTTGAACTTTACTTGCGCCTTGAGAAATCAAGGACAAAATAAAACCCGTCCGTCAACCGAAGGCCATCGTTTTACATATCATCTTGAAATATCCTGCTGGAATAAAACACGTGGAGTAAATTATGGCTCATACGTCACAGATACATGCGCCAAAAACGTCCAACCATCCACATTGAAATCGTAATATGCATCTTCCATGTAATACAAATTTTCGGATATTCGTACGTGGAGCCCCGAATATCCGCACAAACACTAGTACGACTCAGTTATTTCATCCTGCGTAACACATGCTCATACACATGATCGATTCCCGCGTGACTAGGACATAAATAAAGGAACGCTCTTTGTCAGGCATTCGCAACCACATGTGTTTCTCAGGACGCTACGAAATTAGAACATCGCCCAACTCTACGTACGGAAGCGATGAATACACCCAGGCTCCTTGGGGGAAAAATTGTAGCGTCCCAATATTACCAAAAGCTGGGATGAAGCACCTACACGCAGCAATATCTACTGGCTGTACTGCGCACCACATGCTGTTCCAAATTCTCGAGAAAAAGTTCCCGTTGCCTTGCAGAAAGTTTAACTTAAAAGCTCTTCCTACCAAGGCATTCTTGAAAATCACACATCTTTTTCTTACAGCTGAAGAGATCATTTGAAGCCAGGTTTTTGAACTTTTACCTGAGAAGCTTATTAATTTTGTGGTGGTGCACTCTTCATAATCATCTTTGCAACAAATTTCTCCAGAAGTATTTCCTCCCATATGATACAGGTTCTCTGAAACAAATGCTTTTTTGGTCCCTTGAAATTTGTTGTGAAGAGAGACCACCTTTAAAATCCAGTAATTTTTAATCAGGAGGAGTAAGGACAGAATCAGCAGAGCTAGGTATCAGTATTGCTGCATCAATGTTTAGAGTTCCTGTACTGTACTACGAATGGACTCGGTAGTTGACAATCTTTTCAAAAACAATTTTCTCTGAATACCATTTTCCCTCGGGTTCTCACCAGGTTTTGTTGGAGTTTCCGACCTAACAAAATTAAAGAAAGATTTATTTTCGAATGCTGTGCCTTGAATTTTACCGTATAGGTATAGTCCTCCTAAATCAGCTGAATGAAGACTTGCAGTTTGTTATAAAAATGAGTGCTGCGAAAAGATGATTGTTAGCAATAAAACAGATGAAAAAAATACTTCAGGAAATGTATTCTTCATCTTAAAAAAGAAAAGAAAAAAAGCGCCGCATTCCATCATATCAATCACTGCACAAACGACGCTTTAAGCCAGAACAATTACAATTCCTTTAATCAGGGAACATCATCGTCAGCGGAGTACACGTTTGAAAATCGCCTTCAAGAGGCGAAGTCGGGACAGTGAACTCCGTTTTCATTCCTTTCATTCGTAAATCAATGAGATTCCGAGAGACATTCTCTTAGCCTCTTTACGACACGCACAGAAGCGTACCAAACCACGAAAACGACCAGCAAATTTTTCTAAACACAGATGGACCAACCACATTCGAGAACCTATCTCACGAAAAAATTGACAGCTCAGAGGAGCATCCCATTTTTCGAAAATTATACTTCCAGCATCAAATAAGGCATCTTTTCAACGATGAACGTAATAGTCCAACCCGACCCACGATTCTCAAGTCTTGTCAGGAGAAAAAACACACACACACACATAACCGGAACAAAAAAGGTTAAAAATCATGAAATTCTGTCCGCAAGAAAACAAAATTCAAAATGTAAAGAAAAGCTGTTAAATTCAGGAATTCCACAAATTTCAGACGCCGAACAAGATTCCCCAAATGACTGAGATCAGAACAGATACAAGTGATCATTAAGAGAGAAAATAGGAATGTCGCGTGGGTTATAAGTCTTCGCGAAGACGCAGGATGGAAAAGAGGGACAAAAATTATAGAATACTGCCGAACAGGACAAGGTATCAAGTATCGTTGGTAGACGATGTCACGCGTCACAGATTCACTAAAGCGAAGTGAAAATAATAATACCGCCAGCCTGGAAATAGATCATCTTCAGCCAACGTCATCATCTGGCAAGCATAGGTTCAATTCGAGTGTGGTGCAGAATGAAGACACGGTTTGTGACTGTCAAAAAACAGTCAGCATCACAGTCACATATATCTAAGCCCCTCTCGCGTATCACACCTAAGAATCTCTCCCGAATGCTTGCGTAGGATCTCGACCAGTCACCTTGCATCATATTTCACATCCCACTCGCAAACATTTTCACAGCACTAACAGGGGATTTTACACATACTAAAAAAAGTTCAACATGAAGTGATTTTAGTTTTCCAGAGCAAAAGCTATTCTTCAATTCACGCTCACGTAGTAAAAAAAAAAAATTCCCGGAATACGCTCACCGAGAATTGCCCCAGAAAACTCGGACTCTCTTCGAAAATCCTATGCATACGTCAGATTCCTAATTTGAACAACCGAATGTGGAAATTAAAGCCTAAGTATACCAGAATTGAATCTTTGATAAAGGAATGAACTCGACGAGCAGCGCGAGGGTATTGTTGGCCCGAATAACAATCGCTATCGGTAATTCGTTCATTCTAACCAAATTGCTTCACTGCTCTTGAAGCGTCAGAGTGCGCTAGGGCGATGCGGAGTTTTCAAAGCGCGTCCATACACCGGAAGAATTTTCAGGATTCAAGAGGTATCAAAAGTTGATAGCAACGCAGCGTCAACCGGCTCAAGGCAAGAAGGACATGCCAACCTCCTCATCAACCAATCGTCAATGCACTTCTTATGGTAAGTGTGCATACAAGGAAGATAACGCACAGGGTCTTCCAAGGCGAATTCGACCATGCAAATGATACACCTAGAAAACGAACAATCGAGTTTGAATGACTTCTCGACGTACAGATAGAATCCAAAGATACCGACTCTTGATTCTTCTTGCATCCATCATACAGTCCCGTGGGCAGATTTTGTATCAATCCAATACGTTTCGCAATCCTAATTTGATTTTCCTCGTTGACTTGGTTACCATGGGAACCCTCAGGCGGAGGATAATAAAAGGGTAGGTGATCCTGAAAAATTCGGGACACGAAAAATGTTCCAATAATCAAGAGTTAACGAAAATTCGATGAAGATTCCAAACCTGTGATTCATTCATGGGTGAGGCAGAGGAATAGCTCTCCGACCTGCTCTGCTGATGCGCTGGATTTCCGTCGCTTCCTCCTTGCAATAATGATATATCATCGGAACCTTGAGACTTTAAACAGTTCCCCATCTCAGTATTGTTCTGCTGAACGCTCGCTGAACAAACTCGACCTAACGAGAAAGGAGAAATCCAAATACAGTACAGTATTGACATTGAACTCTGGAGGATAAGCAAAGTTTCACAGTAATCGGTAGAAGCACTTCACGGACGACGGAAATACACCGTCAGCTCATCTTAATGTTCAAGACGTAAGATCTCTAGAAGAAAATTCCAGAGGAAAACAATGAATACAGCACATCCCAGCGGCTTATCTGAGCTAGAGTATTTTGCTTGCAAGCGCACGGTAGGCAAGTCCCGGACCGGATACTATATTCCAGGTATACTACACTCCGATCGGCGTCGACTGAACTTCACCACCAGGATTCACGCGTAACAAGACATAATAAGGGTTGGATGCAGAAATAAATGTCCTCGGCCTCTTGTCACAATTTAAACAGTCGTATTTGATTTCACCAACAACATAAAGAGTCACAAGTCACACAGTAAAAGGATAGAAGTGCTCTAGTCGAGATCTCGGAGCGAAGTGACGATTGGGGCTCCCTGCTGCTTCCACCTCTCCTCTGGTCCCTCCTTCCGGGAGTTCCGGTTAGAACAGGTGGGTAAGCTGGATGACCCGGGAGTCCCGCATGCCTGGATAGATGTCGCTGTAAGGGAGTTCCTTACTACATGGACACATTTCATTGTGCCCCCAAAAATGACCAAAATATGAAAATACAATATCAAGAGCAACCTAAAGACTCCTGAATGGGATCAGCGCCATGCTGAACTGCTGTGGGAAATTGAGTTTAGCACAGAACGCGCACGCGACCGTCTCACCGACTTCCGCATATCGCGTGCGTCACGGAATGCATAAAAATTTACATGATTTCTTCCCCGAAATGGAGACTATAAAACGGCTTCGACCATACCCTGCAGCATAAGCATCTCTACTGGGGCTTTCCTTAAATTTCACCAGCAATGGGAATCAAATTGCCCAAGCTTTTCTTTTCAAGCACCCGCATTTATGAAATTTAATTCAATCAGGAGGAAGAATTACAGACTATTGTACACTCTGTATCTGTACATTGAAAATTGATCTCGTGATCAGAAAGTCAGTTCTCGGCATTACATAAATTTTGGAGATCTGTAATATTCACAATGCCTGTTAGGCATTAGCACCGAAAAACGAGTTTCCATCACTAGAGCAATTGTGATTCTCTGGACAAAACTTCCCCTCACTCCATCTTTCCCCGAGAATTTCTTCAGAGACAGGTTAGAAAAATATATTGAAGTCAACTTCAAATTTGCTCTCACCCATTTCCTATACAGGTATGTGTCACGTGTATGGATGGGTGTGAATAAACTAGCTTAAAAATCCTTACTTAATGCCCATAGTTGAAATCCAAATGAATGAAAAAATGCAACAACGAAAGAACAAATTTCCGTAGAGGTTATATTCCAGCCCGAAAGTATGTCTACACAAAATTCAAGATCACCGATCAATGCTCACAAATAGTCAGGAGGCGAAAAAAAAAACAAGGCAGAGGGAATAATATCCTCTGCGCCCTGCTTCCACTTCCTGCCAAACGAGAAAGCGCTAATTTTCTTCGAGAAGTACATCCACCATCAAAATCATCTGCGTCTTCCATCTACAACTCGTCGTTCTGAAGGACCCTCATCTGGAATGGAAATTTCTATTCCCGAAGAGTTACAGTTCTCTTTTCAGAAGGTTTTAAGCAAAACATTTCCGCCTCAGCGAGAAAACCACATGACTCATTTGTACCTCGCATTCATAACCACTCGAGTCACGAACCTTTCCTTTCGCGACGAAAAGGAAAAAAAAATTACGGTAATGAAAAACAAAACGGAGGGAAAAACTTCACTGGCCTTCCAAAAAAAAAGTCAAGCATGGAGTAGACAAATATGGCGCGTCGTGGGCATCATAGTGAAAAAGCCATGTCGACGACAAGTGATTCAAAATGCGCAACTATGCAATCCTTAGGGGCTCGTTTGTGATACAAAGAATGAACTTCTGGTCGATGAACTCAGTCGGTGATCTATTTAGGAAATCAAAAAGATTGTCGATTTACGTCTGAAGGCAAGCCTCAATGCTCTTATCAGGTCCAAGACAAGGAATATTATCCGGACAATCCCATCAGCATATCTCCAGAACGCTTCCACTTCCAGGATTCAGAAACTTAGCAAATCAACGATAATATGATAAAAACTATTTTGGGGCCCAATGGAGCTGAAAAAGTTGAGATCATTATTGAAGACACAATCTAATAAACTTCTATGCAATTTTTTCTCTCAATATAATAAGCTCTGAACTGTTGCGAGATGCATCGTTATTGAAAAACCCTGCCAATCTTTACTCCCACAACCTGCATAAAATAAAATTTGTCTCATCCGGAATTAAATGACTCATGACAAACTAATAATTTACCGGAAGAGAAACATGGCAACCTCGTCATCTAGAAATTCAAACTCGACCCGTTTCTTTTCCTCTGATCCACAGACGATGCACTTCAAGGTTTACGATGTTGTCCTAAATGAATTATTCATTTAATTTCTAACTTCATTCAATCCTTTGAATAAAAATGATCAATATTTGCTCATCTAGGCAAAGGCACCAGGTCATTAGCTCGGATAGTCGCTGATCCACAGTATTAATTGGTTGACCAGATATTTCATTATAACAGCCCAGATAATTTGAGTTTCACTTAATCTACTTCGAACACGGAATTAAATAGTCATCTAACAAGAAAAAAAAGATGACACTCTCCATAAATTTAATTTTTTTAATGGCATCAACCAGAAGAATATTTTGGAATGGTGAACAATATGCGTGAATAGAAATATTGTTTCCGTTTTGGCGGTGAAAGCAGAAACTCTTCATCGACCACAAGTAAATTTTTCGACCACAGCTCGCCCAGCAAAGAACATAGAAAGAGAGAGACTCATCATCGGAAGCGATACTTCCGCACGCAGTCGTTGCCCCAGTCCGCCACCAACAGCCGCCCCTCGGGCAAGACTGTCACTCCTGCTGGCCGCCGCAATTTCTCCTCCGGGGAATCGACAATGAAACGCAACTTGCCCGTCGAAAAATCAAACACCATGATACATGTTCGAAATTTCTCAGACCGAGTAGCAAGCAGGGTGTCAGTGGCGGCGTCGATGGCCAGACCACCGATCGATCCGCTAGACTTTTTGCCGCCTCCGCAAATGTCGCTCCCAGCAGAGATCTCGCGAGTGCGACCCAGTTCAAATACGAGGATTCGTGAATCGACCGCCACGACGGGCTCATTGTCGGGCCCGAACGCCACGGCTGAGGCTTTCGTGGATGCGACGACTCTTTCAAATTTTCCAACCGGACTGAAGAGCATCACCTAAAAAAGCGAAGGTTTCAAAAATCTTCAGACATCGACAAAATCAAAAGCACTGTAATGATTTACCAACATACACATTTTACAGGGCGACAAAAAAATAGACGGACCTCCAAGAGGCAATTTATTTTGAAAGGTTGCATCTTTCACTTCGAAAAAAAAAAATCATTTAAATTTAAGCTTATTACTTCGGTTTTCGAAAGATTACTTTACTTTGAATCGTAATTCACTGCAATACAATCCTTTTGCATTCGGCAGGCATTTTTACAACGAATCACACCCCGCCAGTGCTTGGTAATCTCCGTTTCATAATCGTGTACTGAATTAAAAACTCTTAACTACTGTATACCTAAATTTGAAAAATTCTAAGAAGAAAAAAATTGCTCGTTCGAAAAAGAACTTGTTTCTTTTCGGAAATAATTAGCTGTTGAAGTCCCAGGGCTTGAAGCGGGGGTCTCACCTGCTTGGCACCGTTGTCCAGAACTAAAACAGACCCATCGCCAGCAACTGCAACACCGGTCGGTTCAACAAAGCTTGCACAAACCAATTCTTCCCTGGACTTCTCGTTTCCCTCTTCATCCGGGTCAAACTTGGTCACTTTCTTTGTTCGCCAGTTGACGACAGCCAATCGAGCATCGTCGGCACACAAGGACAATCCTGTAGCTGAACCGCCTTCCAACGCACTACATTCCAAGTGCCGCTTGAACACCAGCTCCTCATCATTCCGACACGCCAAAACCTTGAGAATTTGAACGTTCGTGATTTTGTGCAACAGATTCACCATAAAAATTCAGCGAATTTTAGCTCCGGCAGAAAAAAAAAACGTTCACATCAGATCTTCGCTCACCCTATTAGAATTTCCTCATATACAGTATTTTCAACAAAAACTTTTTTTTCACAATTGAATAATGAAGCAATTAATGCAAGTGATGAAGACAACTTTGATTAAATTTGGAGCGCAATTTACAAAATCGATGACTGAAAACCTCATAAAATTCCTGTACAGTACTGTATAGGTAAAGTTGAACTCTAATTGACGGACTTCCTTCTTTCGCAAAGGAAATTTATTGCCGACTTGAGCTGCGGAATTCGAAGCATCTCTACACTGGAATCCAAATTTTTCTTACCTAAAAAAGAAATTACTTCTAGGTAATTAGATCTCGAGAACAAATCCGCTTCAGAGTGAACTCACTTCTGAATTATACTACATACAAAAAAAAGAGCTCACCTTGATTCTGCAATTACCGGAATCTAGAACAAAGATTTCACTTCGCGTCGGATCATAAACAGCGGCGACTGGCTGCAAAAATGCAGTAGCATCGTCTTCTGAGCAGATACTCTTGAGAGCACAATGGCCAAAGCTGCAATCCGGGTTGATGTGCGGTGATGTGGAAAATATCACCGGGGAATCCTTCAGAGGTCGGTTGAAAATTTTCACTTCCAGACGATGCTGGCAAGAGTTCACCGGGATGAACACCAAGTCGTAAGTTCCATCTTCATTGTCAATTACCTAACACGAACAAAACTCGTCATCGATATATACCGTACAAAAAGTTTTTAATTTTTACCCGCATACGATTCCGATTTCTCAATCAAAAAATGCTTATAAATTCAAGTGAGGATATGAACCACAGTTCGAAAGTTCGAACTAAATTCCGCAAAAAATTAGTTGACATGAACTTCAAAAAGTTTCAAGGCGTCCCAAAATATTCGATTTCATTTTTTGTAAATTGTGAATTCTCAAAAAATTGGCTCATTTCAAAATTGAACACAGGAATGCTCGTTTCTTCCTTGATCGGAAAGTGCTCCGGTAAATTTTCCGTGGGAGAAACTGAAAATTGGTGTACCCTTGGATAAAACCTCAATAGATTTTCCCCAAAGCACTAATTTTTCGTAAAATCGACTGTGCGTATGGTCTTAGATACCCCGCAAAATCCTTAACGCACTGATGTTTCGGTGGTACGCAAATAAAAGGCGGATTCGAAATCATTTCGATTTTCGTTGCTCACATGAACAGGGACATCCACGTTAGCCTTCGGACCCTCGGTCGCCACGAGCTTCGCAGCAACGGGATCTTTCCCACTGACCCGCAACCTGCCGCCATAGTCGACAGTGACAACTTTTGCACGGCACTCGAGATTAGTGACTAGCGTTCTCGCGGGCGGCAGGACAACAGACGACAGCGAAGGATGCGTCGTACTCGTTCGTACGGCACCAAATCCCGTCAAACAATCACGCATCGACATCAAACACGTGTCCAACAGACTCTGGTCAAAGCAGAGAAACGCATTTTCGCGTGGCTCTGCCACACCACCACCACCTAGTGTTTCCAGCTTCGCCGTAAGCTCGTTTATCTTGCCCGAGATTGATCGCACCTGCCAAAAAACCGAAGAATTTATTAAAATATTAGTCGGTCCGAATTTTATTAAAGCCCTGAAAGGAGCAGAGTTCCTCAATCAGCTTGGGAGTACGCGGGAAACAGGCGGTACTTTCGCATTCGAGGCGGACAAATGGTAATTTTGAATCTTCAATTACGCAAATTGTTGAAAATATGAACATTGCGCGACAAAGGAGCAGTGAATGACAAATCGAGCATTCAAATTTAATGAAAGAAATTAACACGATGACCTCAGTTTTAATATTCGAAAAGAAAAATCTTGCCTCGACTTCTCTGTTGAGCGCATCCACCTCAGCCTCAACCAGACTTCGGTCCCTGCGGATTTCCTCGGCCTGTGCAAGCAATACAGCACGCTTTTGAGACGCCATTCGCTCCAAATCAGTCAACAGGGCTGCTCTTCGTTCGGCAATCACTAGTATGATCTCGTCGAATGCCGTCGCAATGGCCACCTCCGTCGCCGACGCCCGCGCATCCAACTCCGCCAAATCTCCCATAATGTTCCCGTTGGCTTCGTTCAATTTCTTGATGCATAGTTTAGCCTTTCGACAAGAAAAAAGTAGAAAACAATTCAAGACCATAATAAATACACGAGGCTTCCAACAGAAAAATAAATTTTGTTTACATTCCCTAAATGTCATTCCGCTGAAATGGTTGCAAAAATTTCATGATTTCCGCCCAAAAACCATTGCAAAACATACAGAGGATTAGACAGAAGTACTATATGAAGTTGAAATATTCTACGAGCACTTGATGCTTAGATCTTTTTGTGAGCTTCAAGAGGAATTTTTTTTATTCTGGGAAATTGTCATTCTGACATTAACACGGAAACGATTTAATCAGCGAATGCAAGGCACTTCAATAAATTTCAATTCTTTTCAACAGGAAAGGGATTTGCTGAATTCAATTTTATCTTTTTTTCGCAAGACATTGCGTTGCTCATGAGTCATCACGTACGTCGAACTTCACGATCAATGGAAAATTCAAAAAAACACAAAACGCGCCCTGGTTATGTTTTCGAGCAAATCTTCGTGAAAAATTCGATTAACATCAGTACAGTATACTCGAAAAAAAAAAATTTGGGATCGTCTCGCGTTACCTTGTAAAGAAGAATCTCCGACATCCGTTTGATGGCGATAGAAAAAGGAATGACTGTATGAGGGTCTGTTATGAGTCCAACAGTGGACGAAGAAGATGAAGGCGCAGGAGAGTGACTGGATCCGTTGCAATCCTGGCAGAAAACCATATCGCATGTTTCGCAGAATAGCAGCTCCTGCGATAAGAGAACAGATCATAAGCTATTACTCGTACTGATGCCATTCCACGATAATCATTATCGCTAGAAAATCACATAAAAATGAGTGAAGTTTAAAATCCCAAAAAAATTGGCGGTTTGTTTCAAGAATTTCCTAAATTCACGCAAGTATTTCTTCGTCAATCTGACTTGAAAGTAAAGAAAAACTTCCATTTCGATGATCGAAAAAGAGGATTCTTCGAACATTTTCAACGATTTAGAAGAGAGATACACTACATTTAAGCGACTCCGCCGAGAAACTGAGATTTCCAACAGCTTGTCGCCAAAAACGTTTCAGCACGAATTTTCTTCATGGTCGACAGAAGTACTTCGCTAAAAATTAAAAATTAAACGAAATGCCAAAATGCAATGCGATGAAGTATTTTTTGAAAATGTTCAGGTTGAAAAAAAAAAAAACCTACCTACACAGAAGTTGAGATGTAATTTTATGCTTCAAAAACAATTACACAAAATAAAACTTATGAGGAAGTGGAATTTTTTCCTTCATGCACCACATTTCGGCAGCACAAGATTTCGCATGCCTTGGGATTTTTCGACAGATTTCCTCGCTGAACAACTATTGAGTTACAATACTAACAAACGCAACTCTTTCAACAAGTCTACAAGTTCATTTATTAGTCCTTGAAGAATAGTCAACATAGTTTATGTTTATTCTCGGGCGAGTTTTCTTACGGAATAATCTCAAGTCAAACCTCTTGTTGTTTGGACGTCATGGATATTTTTGAGTAACTTTGAAGTCAGGAAATGATCCATCAGAAATCAGAAAATTATTTTCATTACCCCAGACGTTTCGGCTGGAACCTGATCTGTATTTTCTCAATAAAAAGAAACAAATCCCTTATTTTCTCACGTGAACAAAAGATCATTTTCCATCTGCTTGAGTGCTTTCGTCTTGATATTACAGTAAATTTAATTTACTCTTGAAAATAAATCTTTTGTACTCAAGAAATTAGGAAGGAAATTTCGAAGAGATCGGGAAAAGATTGGCCATACGAAACATCTTCAAATTACTGTCATGAAGAATTCCAAGGGACCCGCAACCATTTAGCCATTACGCATTGTTTTACAAACACTGGTTCATAATCCAATTCACGACGGCGCAAGGTAGTCGTGAAATCTTGAGTAATCAGCAACAACTCGCCTGCATAGAGTGGACCGAGCACTTGGGCACGACTTCGCGCCGTTGCTGGGCCATCAAGTCGAGCAGTTGATTAACGAGAAAGTTAGGTCTGAGCGCCGCCACGCCGCCTACGGGGAGCGGGATGCTCTCGCGGCAAATCGGACAACGAAACGCGTGATGATGATGATTGTGATGGGCGGCGTCGTCGGAAGAGGAAGTCGAGCCAGAGGCCGGAGAAGTCGTCGAAGAAGTCAGCATTGTCACAGGTATAGGATTCGAGGACACGATTTGTTCAAGGCATTGTCTGCAGATCGTGTGCGAACACGGCAGGAGCTTCGGACTCCGCTCGCTAGCATCGTACAAACCTAATAGTGAGGGCACAAGAGTAAATGTAAAACTTCGGATTTCGGAAAATAAATGCGCTAAAAAAAAGACTAACGCGTTTCACGAAGATTATGAATTCAGAAAATAAGCTGAATTAAAATGTCCCGACAAAAATAAATTTAAAATTTTCTATTCCCGCTTTGCGTTGAAAATCAATGCAAAAATGCAATGGCCTCATTTTTTGGATCGTATTTTACTCAAATGACGTGAAAAACTAGCCACTGGGATGAATTCTGCAGAAGATGAAAGCTTTGACGCAATTATCTCAATCGTGTTGAGCATTTCCACGCATTCACGAACTTTTGCGTATTAGAAAGATGTTGTATATTCGTAATGATGTTTATTCATCAGATTTTAAAATGCAAGAATAAAGCTCACGAGTGATACGGAATTATTCAGCCATTTCATGAATCTTCAGAAACTGTTTTCAGTGAAAGGGACTGTTTGGGGTCTGGTACCAATTCTGAATGACTAATTTACACCTAGTCGTCGAAGACTTTTTGGATAATGAACTCATCATGCAATGGACGGTCCACTCGCGAGACTCCCACGCTCATTTAAAATTCATTCATCCTCATCAATCATTATTAAAAAAATATTCCATGTTACATTCAATTCAAAAAACTAATAAACGAAGGAAACTCACACAGACAAGTGCCGCAAGTGAGAAAGCTTTCGTTGAAGTCTTCGTAGTTGATTGACACCGTTTGCACGAATGTCGACGATGAGAAGCTCACCATGGCGACGATGACGTCGACAACGACGGTCGAGATTTGAGACCGCGACGGCACGGAACCTCATCCGAGCCAGCGAATCGCGTCATCCGGACCACTGCCTTCTCTCGCCCCCATTCACTATCAATTCACTAACTGATGACGCCATCGTGCAAAAAAACAAATGCAGAAGAAAACGGAAGAGTAGAAAAATGCATCATAATCTGTTTCCGGATTTTTCAAGACATGGCACACGTTCTTCAAAAAGAATAACCCACGCCTTCCGGAACCACGGGAAAAGAGGTGCAAACAAGTTTATCCGCCGTTCGAGAATCCGATGCGCTCATGAATGAAGTTAAAATTAGATTTTTCATCACACCTTGGTTTATGGGGCGCAACAAAATCGACAACTGAAAAGGTTGTTTCATTTCCAAGCGGAGTCCAGGAAAAATGTCCATCAATTTTTTTTTTTTCGTTTTCAACTCCACAAGCCACCCTTGAATTATCGGATATTGAGGCATCACCAGAGAAGATCGTCCATTTCAGACATCAATTGGCACCCACTCCTTGCAGGAGATTAAAATTGCAACCACGTTTTACTTGGTAATTGTCACGAACGGATTGAGTAGCAAAAAAAAATTGATGCCAGAATAACAATATTTTCCCTTCTAGTCTTTCAACTTTCTTAACAAATCTAGCGATTTTTTTTCAAACCGACGAGTAACTAAAATGGTCATTATCCTTCATTTGATCGTATAAATATTCTAAATAACCAAGTTTCCAATTTATTCCTGTGATTTCGCACAGAAACCAGACAACCATTTCACACCAATGAAACCTTTAGCACGCCATAAATCGATTTTTTAGAATCTACAGATTTCAGTCAATCTGAACAGCTAACTCGCCAAACTAACCGACGCGGAAAAATTCAACCAAGATACTAGCGACTGACATATTTTTTTCTCATTACAATTTTTTAAAATTCTCTCGAAGGCGAACGAAATTTCCCGGCAAGTTCACTCACGATCGCATTCGAAGAAAAACATTTCAAAGCGGAAACGAGTTCATTTTTCACTGTACAGTCTTTCTCGCATGAAAAACTCGACATTAGATTACAGCAATGGACAAATTACACAGCGAAAACAATTTCGCTTAACGCAGTATACGGTTTCCGTTACCCGATCGGCCACCGCAAGCAGAACTCATCGACGCTTTGCGACTAGATCCACCAGCAACATTAAAATCATAAGAGATCTCTAAAACGCTGCCACGAAATAGAATTCCTGGAAAAAACCTTCATTGAATCAATCTCAACGCTAATTTCCCCAGAGTCGATCGGAGAATTCGAAAAAAACACACGTTGAATTCACAATCCAAGAGGGAAACGGATCAAAGATTGGTGACCGTCGGGGCGGCGTCGTTGCCGTCGTCGTCATGATTCGCCACCGCCGTCACAGCAGCAGCAGCAGAAGAAGAACGCGTCGGCGACGCCAATGTGACGAATGGTGACAAGTTGGACGTCGACGGACTTGGACTCTCATTGCGTCGCTTGTAGAATAGGACGTAGGCGGCCCGGGATATGACAGTGTCCTCCTCCACGGGCGCGACACGACTGTCGTCACAACACCTCCACCCTAACACACCAGGAATTCGGGGCGGTGAGAGAGATAAGAGCCATGCATTTTTCATATTCTGAAGGACAGGCAAAGACTTCATTGCTCGCAAAAATCAATAAGCAGATTTTTTCAGTAGGAAACGGACGGGCATTTTTTGGCGATTATTTCCACAATGATTCCGTGTTAAAATCAAAGAAGTGATTCTCATCGAGAGATGGAAAAAAATCTCGTAGGACAGGTTAATGATAAAGCAATTAATTATCAGCAGAATATGTCGTGTTCCGAAGTATTTATAATTAATTAATTAATACATTTTATAACATCGTACAGTACTGGATTATCATCTTCCCAAGTGCTCTGCAGTTCTCAATGTCACTTTGCAATTCATCCTTCAGAAATTTGAGCTAATCTTTCCAACTCGGAAACAGAAGCTATACGTGTGAAAAGTCACAGGATTTTTCTTTTCATCCTTCACTTCTATTGTATTATTTTCTGTCCTTCACGCACCATTAACCGTCTCGAGAATATCCACTTCTTCATTTCATTCAAGGCACGAATAGGACAGCTTTTATTTAGAAGAAATGTTCCCGAGGCATGTTACAAACACGCAATTGAAATTTCGTGGGATGTTCAAGTTGGGTAAACCTAAACGGCAAGATTTGATTTGGCTGCGCAATAGGTTAGTATCATTTGAAACACTTCCGACTCGCAATCATGCACTGTGAAGGAACAGTACCTCAATTTTATACTGTACATGAGATTCTGGGTCCGAAATAAAAGACATCGCAACAATTTCTAAAGCAGTGAAATTGGGAAATTTCTAATTTTGCGTTACGCGGTTAAAACAAATTGATGGGGGCACCTGCCTCAACATTCCCAGCGAACGAAGAGAAGACTGTTCGATCAACGACGGAAAATTCCAGAAATTTCGTACCTTGAACAAGAATTGTCCAGATTGTTTCAAGTTTTTCCACAGGATTCAATTTATGCGACACACGTAAGAATGAATCCCTATCCCATAAGTATCTTTTGGTGCACGGCGTTACAAGAGTCAAGGTACTGTTTATTTTTCTACACGGGGGATGCGTTATAAGAACTGCGTAAATAAGAGAAAGTAACACGCACGCAAGAAGAGTAACTCCAAATTACGGCGTTGATCTTCAATTCTTTACAAATTCGCACATACTTAAACGTGGATCATTGGGGGTTACGCAACCATAAATACGATCAACACTCAGCGGGGCAAATAAAAACTAAGCTTCATAGAACAAGTAAACATAAAATAAGGGGAAACGTTTCTACATGGAGGTACAGTGCTGTATAACAAACCATCCTCAGAACCATCGGCACCGCGCGCAACTTTTCTCAAACGAGTAAAAAAAAAAACATGTGGGCGTCACCCATAGGAATACAAATTCTGGGGTCACTTTGATGACGCAAGAATAGACTACATAATATCTTACTGTACAGTAATATCCCAGATAGAGGAAGCCTCGCATAATGGATTTTTCAAACTACGGACCCGGGCTGCCAGCGACTTCGGATAGTGATCAATGTTTCGAAATCATAGACTGCACACAATTTTTCCAACAGTATAGAAAAAAATTTAAGTTGCTCGCGGAATTGATGCCTGTCAATTTTTCTAGTGGTTAACGCTTGTAAAGGTAGACTCTCCACGAAGATTTTGTTTAAAACGATTTTATCTCTGGAACGATTTGTTTTTTGGCTCCATAGGGTTCTTTTCCGTGCTATAGGCGTTCTCTTCAACGAATTTGTTTCATGGTCTCTTAAATTTCATTGCAGAGGAAGTCCAACCTGTTATAAACTTTTTGGGCTCCTCTTCATGCAAAAGATCAGAATATGCGTGGCTTTCTTTTGCACGGTTATTTTTATTATTTTGAAGTTGAGAAAATTATTTTTATTACATTTTGGGGGACTTTTCCCTAATTTTTGATAACCAGGAGAATCAATTACCAAATATATATTCCCATTGAAGTCTAAGGGGCAACATGATCCGAAACACGGGTTGTTTCGACATAGAGACAAGGTTCAAGCACCAATCATGTCCTCATCTCGGGATCCCATTGTAAAAAAAAAAAAAAGAAAAGAAAAAAATACGTACCAACGTCAGACAAGCGAGAATCGTCGACTTTGCATAGCCGGACGTACGACGTGTAATGTCCACCAATCATTGATCCGTAATGGTTCACGACTCCGTACAGGTCATAAACTGGTTTCTGTCCCGAAACACCAGCGCAGTACGGACTCACTTCAAGTCCCCTGTGAAAGACAGGGCAAACAAAAACCGAGCGTCAGGACAAAGAAGGAAAGGTCTCATGAATTTTGCATACAATCGTTTAGGAACGTCAAGTCCTGGAAAAGTGAGCTGCTTACGAATGCAACTCACGTTCTCAAAAATGCACTTGGTTAGAACAGAATATGACGTTTTATTCCTCCAAAAAAAATTGAGGATAACGGGAAACTACTCCCGGTGCAGTTCTCGATTTGCATATTTTCACTGTAACTCTGAAAGAGCTTGACGTCGCTTCAACTGCACACAAACACACAAGGATCGCGTAAGCATAATGAAACACATGTCTTCCGGTTTCACCTGCGTTCCTCAAGCGTGCAGGATTTTTATCTCATACTAACCTAGCTTTGTTTAAAATTTAGGAAGTCCCGAAAAATTCGGAGAGTACACTAACCTCAATGGGAACCGGATCATTCTATTTATCTTGTCCCTCCACAACAGGGTCTTGAAAGAGAATCGCTTCAACTGCAGCACCAAGATGTTCGGCAAACGCCACAAGCTCATTTCCTTCGTTGCTTCTCTGTGTTTCTTACAGCCCGAACAGTACCAGGCTTCCTCTGGACTGAGCCTTTCCGGCTCCGTGAACAACCTTGATCAAGATTGAGTGGAAATGTTACGCAACCACTTGATTTTGCAATGAACCGACGGAAAAAAGATTTTGTTCTTCGTTGCAAATTCGTTACCTAATCCACTAAAATCGTTTACATTTAGATAATTTAAAAAAGGAAGACAAGTCATCGAATATTTTACAGAACCTCTCAAAACTTCAGAATGTTTTTTCTCTCCTTTCCAAAAATAGAGATTAAGGGTCATACAACTGTTCTCTTCATTTTTGTGAGGTACCGCACAGACCAAACATCGAGTAAATATTGAGCTTTTCTTTCATCAATGCTGCGAATTTCCAAAAGAAACGAAAGTTGAAGGTTGAAAATTACCATTAAATCGACGAAGGATTGTCAAAACAGCATCAAATTGGAAACTTCTGGGGGAGGGGAAGAGCAAAAATATGACTAATTACTCATTAAAAATGTATTCCTAACTTTGGATTGACAAGCATTTCTTCCTTATTTCAAGCAGCCAGACCAAACCTAATGAACACGTTAATCGAATAAAAAAAATTACTGCAATTTTTTCCAAGAACTGTAGGAGTACTTTCGTAGTAAAGAGCCCCATTAATGCACGCGCAGATTTATGAAAACGCTTCCGGGTTCAAACGTAGCCAGTAAAACAAACAAAAAACCTTCAGATTTCTTCCGAAGGACGCAAATTTAGTAATGTCAGAAATGTTCTCAAATCAACGCAAAACAAATGCCACCAAAGCAACAGCGGCAGGCAAAAACGGGTCGCCATGACATTTTCAAAATCAAAATACCTGTACACAAAAAAGTCCATGATCCAGAACGAAAATTAATTTAAAAAATAACTCAAACTGAGCAGGAAAACAAAATTAAATAAATAAAAACTAATGAACACCAGAAAAAAAACCGCACGGACACAACTAAAGAAAACGATACCTTAAGCAGTCATGCACAGTGTGAGTTTCCTCGTCGTTGTCGTCATCCCCACTCATGGCACCGTAAACGAACCGACTGCTATTGTAAATCGGACGTCGCGGAAAGGAGTCGCCGTAATCTTCCGACGATGACGTAGAAGGAAACCCCGAATTTTTCTCAGATACATCTTCCGGGGGAACATAGTCCCGGGCATTCAGTGGCTTGTTCTCGACAATCACAAAGCCTTGTTTCTTGTCGTCATTTCTCCAATCCAAGAAAACCTCCGCGCGTGAACAATTGAACTCAATCGGCTTATCGCCTGCTGAGAAGAAAAAATGTAAAATTATATGATGAAAATTTTCTTTTCGATTTTATCGTGTCAAACGAACTCAATTTTTCATACAGTACTTGGAGATACACCACACAGTGTTCTATTACCAGTAAGATATTACAGCGCAACAAAAAAACTTAAAAGGCATCTTCGAAAAGTTGAAATTAAGATCGAAATCACCAAGGCACGATCTTTCAGCGTTCATACGTGAACCACTGGTCGCACAAGAAGCACTGACCACATACAGTACGCCGAATTAACCATGAACAAAAACTTAAATTTCAAGTTTTTCTTAAATATTTCTAATCACGGATTTCGAACATTGAGCAGGAACTCATTAGCGCATAACCTTAATTTTTTAAAGTTTAGGAAAGGGTTTAGCAAATGAGTTATTGTTCAAGTAAGATACAAAGGAACCGAGTTGTAGACGGTAGTTGAATATGGAGTTGAATCTACTTCATTCGAATTCCGGCATTTTAAACAAAATTCGACCGTGTTCGAGTTATCGAAGTTGAAGTGTATACACGCTTGCGAACACAGTTGAAGTCCAGTACGAAAGGGAAGCAAACAGTGGCCCCCCATCACAAGGGCAAATTTCACAAAAGGATCGAAAAGCCATGGACGAACGCATTTAAACATTTCCAGGGTCCCTTTAAATCTAGAAAAGCAAATTTTGACGCACTCTTCAGTGAGTTCAGTCACACCTCAATCCCCGTCCCCTTCTCCTATTCAAATCTCAATATGAATATCAAAACAGACAACAAAAGCGAAACTTGAAGATTCGGTTCAACAACGTGAAGGAAAGCTTTCCACAATGGAATGAGCTCGAAGGTTTTATCAACGTGAGAGAGAGAAAAAAAAGAAAGGGACTAGCTGAAAGAAAAGAAGAAGAAACGACTCGCCACAGGAAGGCATTCCCGAAAAATTCTCACGACCGTTATTTAGAGGCGGGCGAGATTTTCAAGCACGTTGCCAGGGCGCTTGAGATCGCGAAAATACTTGGTCGTAGAGAAAAACTTGAAAAGCACGTTTTCTTATTTTTACATAAGTTTAAGAACAAACATTTTTCAGCTTAGCTTTTGGTACGAATACCACACGCCATGAGGTACACAAAGGAATTAAGATCCGACACAAAGGAAAATAAAAACTATCAATTCTCATTTCAAGGTAACGGAAGAAACGAAATACCGTAGGACAGAAGGAAAGGCATAACTAGTTAAGCGTGAATTGAAAAGATGATCGTCTAACGTATAACAAAAACGGCTAAAAAAAACGTAAAAATAGATGCACAGTAGTTTTAAGCTCTCAATAATTTCGAGTAACTCCCAAAACTGTAGTTTAAAAAAATATAGGTTAACATTTTTGTAGGATCTGAATTGATCACTGTACGAAATACGGCATAATCTCTACTATCCCGGTGTCAAAATTTTTAAACTTTATTAAATGAGGCAAACCAGCCAAAGCAATTTTAATTAACGCTACTTGAAACTTTTACTACTGTATATTCCTTTGTCACATCCACTAGAATTTCAAACGAGAATATCCTGTACAATACCAACCATGCAAAATTGAACCCAACTTAATGCATAAGAAAGCGAACAAACTACTGTATCCTAAAACATTTTTTGGATCTCATCAGATACCAAAAACGTGTTCAAAGAGAAATTCTTAACAAATTTCTCTTTGAGCAAAAATATCGGTAATAAAACGTTGAATAATTTGTAGTACTTTTTCATTCCAAAGAAAATTTTTTGTCTTCCCTTTGACTATTGCGTGAAATTTGTATTATCCCAACGAAAGCAACCCATACATTAGCCCGGATGATTAAGGTTCTCCTGTACAGTATAGGTATTTCATCGATTTCTTAATACGACGACTGACGTAACGTTAGGAGGATATTAGATCCCTGCATATCAAGCGGAAAAATTCCCCTCAACTCGGAGGAAAAAAAGAGCACGTGACCTGAACTAAGTTAACTATCAAGAGTCAAAAACCCAGCAAACGTGACCCAGTTCCGTTTTCATTCCCATTTCACTTCCCCTCTTCCGCCCACAAACAAGTCAGTGACTGGGAGTCCAAAAGCAAGAAAAAAGAGGCAAACACAATGAGCTCACCGTTATCAGTCAACTGTTTGAGCTGCGATGAATGCACTCGCACTGCGGCCATCCCCGGCGCCAGGAAAACGTCGAACTGCGGGAACTTCCGCGAGACTTGCAACTCCACACTCGTATCACTTCTCACATCTCTCACTTCTTCTCCGTCAAGCAGCGGCAACGCAGACGGTCCCTCGTCATCCTCACTGTCATCGGCGTCCAGTTCACGCATCATCCCAGACTTCACTTTCGCCTCCGGCGAAGCGTCGTCCTCCGACTCGGCCGCCACTTCCGGAACGGAAACGGTCAGGTTCGTAGAGTCAGTCAGCCGGCGATGCTTGAGGACCGACTGAATCGGTGAAGTGAGTTTCTGCACTGTGATGTCGGGGTTATTCCGAGGAAAGTAGGCTTTCGGCGGCGGCGGCGGCAGAGGTGGCGGCGGTGGAGCCCCTTCGACTTCACTAGCACTGGATGAAAACTGAAGCGTAACCAGGTCTCCAGAGGGTTTCGCCGTAACGTTATCACGGGCCGCATTTGAAGAACGTCCAGCGTCTGAGCTGGGAATTGAAGCCTACAAAAATTCAATTTAAGCAAAAAACATTCAAAAAAGATTTCAAATCACACGCAGATACGAATTGTTCGATTGTCTTGATAAAAGAAAGCAATGTGAAGAATTACAGAGAATACCGTAGTTTATCATTACTGTACTTGTCTACTGCGCCGAAAAATTACTTCCGCTTGGCTAGATGTAACAGTCGGTTCGATCAATTGCATTCCAATTTCACGCCGGGTCATCGCACATTTTATCTGGATACCAGTTCCTCTAGTTTTGATCGGTAGTGGCATTCAGGCGAAGAATGGATTGCAGGTGGAACAGCACAAGATAATGAAGATCGATTTTGTTGGTGTTGTTTAAACTGATCACTTCAGAACAACTGAAACATTACCAACCAATTCCGCACCTCACTGACATATTACCAACCAACTCCGATGCATTTCAGAATACGTGAGCAAAATGACTCCTGGTTTCAGCATACTCTAAAAAACAAATTAGGACTGTCCACCGTCGACTTGATCCCAAATATGACGCACAAGTTGGGAAGAATTGCCATTACTGTACTTCACATTATAAAAACGAGTCGTTAGTTCATGCACTAAAACTGTAAACAGGTAAACTGCCTACAACGAATTCGTTTTTGTAGTCACCTGAATTTCGCTGTAAAGGAAGTCCAAGTATATTTATGAAAGAAAAAAAAGACTCACGTCTTTAATGCCGCACGTCGCAACTCCGTCAGAAAATCCACCGACAGGCGGCTGCATTACATTCACAGAAAACCTTGCACAGGATTCAAGCAAGTGAACTATACGTGCAAACGTCGCCTGAGAGCGTCTGAGGGAGACGATGAATGGTTTCCCAATCGGGTCACAGAATCTCTTGCATTGTTGCTTATGCGCGTTCCAATGCTCAGATTGGCATCCTGTATTGCAGTACGCAACGCGGTAACAGCCATTGCAACGTAAGGGTTTGTCCGACTGATCATGACGACAAAGCGCACAATTCCGAGGCTTTGGTGGATTTTCCAAACGCTAAAAATCCAAATGAATGATTCAGCATGACTATAAAAAGTATTTGATTGCTTTCGCTGCACGAACCAGATTCAAACGTAACACACGGAGGATATCGTTTCTCCTCTGAGTTAAAAAAGGCTGGTCAGGCCCAACATGTCTACACACATATCTCCTATGGTTCATTTCGAGGATACGTTATACTGTCAATGAAAATGCGAAACAAATTCATTAGTTACCATTGGACTGTTTTTTTCAGATTTTTGAAATTGGGCATTTGTTTCAAGTGGGAACAGCCAATCCAAAAATTCGGACTTAAAACTGGCCCCATTTATTTTTACGTTCAGTACCTTTCAATTCCTCAAAATGAAAAAATTGCATAAACGGGCTAAGTATTTCGCGTAAATCCACAAAATAGAATAGTACAGAACTTCGTGTCTTTCGTGTGGAGGCAAAGGGATACAATGCGATAGCTGAATTTCGCATAGAAGAAAAGAAATAATTCTCAGGTGGCTTTCATGACCACTTCAACTGGCCTAAGCTTACGTAATACAGCATTCATCGAGTACGCCATGCAGTAAGAACAAGAAAAACATTTTTGGGCAAAAAAAAATTCGAAGGGGAGGCAAATCTCTTCCCAAGAAACTGCTCTCACCTGGATAACTCTGAATTCAATGAGAGGATCTTCCGCACTTTCATCAGCATCATCATCCAAAACTTCGTAGATCATCAATCGACCACGAGGGCATCGATGCAACGCTTGGGTTAGTGTTGTTCGGTATGACGGGAATTCATCAAAAACTGATTCACTGACCACTGCGACTCTCAAGCAATGCCCAGGAATCTTTAGCATATCGCCAACTGCTTGAAGCAAATCGCTCATCATCGCATCGGAAGCGATTTTCAAAGATAGCTGCGAAATAATCAAAGATTAACGATTCATAACAGTTTTGAAATTCCATAAGGAATACCTTGTTACGTAATTACTGTACTTGAACCCTAATTTTGCAGCTTTAACATGGTAATAGTAGTTTTTCCAAGAAAAGAATGATTTTTACTGGTCGACGCATCAGTTTCCTATTACTGTATAACAAATATTACAGTATGCTCAGCACGATTTTACTCTCTTCTTTTGTTGAGAAGGTGGCATGAAGTTCAACAAGCATAATCTGTCCTTGAAAATCTAGTTTCGTACGGACCACAATGCAATTGAAATTCATAATATAGCACGACGAGCGAGGATGGTCTCTAATTACCTTTAAAGGGACGGCAGTTCCGTTAAGCCGAAAGAAAATCGGTTCCACGGTCATTTTGCGTTTCGGAAGCGGAACGGAGAGATACAGAAACGGATCAAAGGTTATCGATACTTTTTTACAAGATGGACAAGTCAGTTTGGATCTGTATTGTCCTTGAAAAAGATCCACTATTATGGAGTCATTTCTCCGTTTGTAAAGTTTCCAGGCTTCATCTGCTACGTCGCCATCGGGTCTGCCTTGAGACTCGACTGTAGGTGTGTAGGGTTTGTCTACAACCCTATTAAGATCCTGCGAAGTATGAAATTCATGTCATTACCCATTCCTTGAGGAAATTCGACCGTACTTGCCTCATGGAGTCCATCCAGAAGAAATGCCATGAACTCGTGGGCATCATGCTGGGCAAAGCCAAGGAATTGACTGGCTTTATGAGCTAAAATTTTCTTAATTAAAGTTGGCGCAACGGACATCTCCCTTCCGGACCACATGGAATGCAAAAGGTTCCCGAATGCGACCGCTAATTTCCCTTGCATGCCAAGTGGATTTGTTCTGTTGAGCTCCGGTTTGTGAGCATCGCGCAAGAAATAATCCCTCAACTCCCGTGTATTTGATATGCATTGGATTATTGAATTCATGAAACAGGTATTGCCGATGTTTTCCAACCCTGTGTGACCAGGGGAAACTACTTTTACAGGAATACGTTCTTCAGCGTCTTCCTCGTCGCTAGAAAACCCGTGATCCTCGTTATTATTCGCTTCACGATCAACATCACTGCGTGTGTTCAAATTTGGATCAACATTTCGAGAACTCAGGTCTTTCCCACTCGTGATGCGAGAGGTTGTATCAGCTCTTCGGGGGGTAGGTTTCAAGACTCCAGGATAAAATTCATTCGCGTTCTCTCTTTGAAGACTTGTGGGTCGAGCAGATGTGAAACGAACCGGATTTACTGCGTAAGGTATGAATGACATTAAATCAAAACACATGAGGGATTAAGTTCACCATACCTGGAACATTGGGAACAACTTTTGCTTCCGGAAGAAATCCTCCCCAGATCGCTGGCTGCTTCTTCGAAAGCTTCAATTCGAGCTTATTCTGGGACACTCGATAATGACATGATCCCGTATTTATTTGATCTCGTAAAGGAACATCCCAGAGAAATAGCTCGTGATTTTCGTCGTCACTTGTAGCTTGTGAACTCAGAAACTTCTGGTCCCTAGTCATGAAAATGACAAGATTACTTCCAGTTTGTATCAGAAAACATTGAACACTTACGATGAGTTGAACAGGACGCTAAATGACTGTTCTTTGAAATCAACGGTCAGAGAATCTTCTCGGATACTTTTAACATATAGATGAACGGATAGATTTTTATCCTCTTCAGTGAAATCGGTGCGAACATCCTCTACTCGTCGGAACTTGACTGGCGGTGGAACAGGGTCATCATTTTGTCGTGCGGTAGTCAAGTCACCAGGGGAGAAGTCTTCTTCTTCAGACATATCCATGAGCTCAACAGATTCGTGTTTCTACATACAGAAATTAAATATTGAATAATACTCCAGATAAAATATGAAGAAGTTATCACGTGCCTCATTGCAATTCGGGACGTCGCCAGAAGTCATTGTTCCAGCGCTCACGACCACTGAGGAATCAGACCATTCAATTTGAGATTTCTGAGTTCCTCCCTCGGGGGTTTTTTCGATCTTCGTGACTCCGTCACCTAAAGTCGGCCCGACTTCGTCACAATTAAGTTTTACGAGTTCACCATCCGATTCCGAATCCAACCGATAAGACAACACAACTACATGGTCGCCGCTCGATTCGGACTCGTCTACGGTCGAAGTTCCTGCTGAGGCACGTGGCACGAGTTTACAATAAAATTAAGAAATTGAAAATTTCCTGGACAAACCTTTGACGATTTTCGGAAACGCAATATCTTCGCGAGGCGAAAGGTCAGAAACCATTTCCTCAAATTTTTCAAGAATCACGGATTACACTTCTGTCTTACACAAATTTCCTTCAACTTGAAAAAGAAAGTGTCACAATTTTTTTCCCCGATGTCTGACAAATTTCAACACACAATAGCCAAGATTAACAGGACAGTTTCATCCTCAACAGGCTCCCTCCTCAGACTTTCCGTCGAAGTAACGTTCAGACAAAAGGTAGTCTACACATAATAAAAGAACTGTATGCACAGTTATTACGTTACGGTAAATATTCACTTCACGAATCAACACGCTCCGTCGAATTCGCGCCGAATTCTCCATGGGCGTGAGTTTTAGTGGCTGCCCTGTTACGGATGCAGTATGTGAATATCTGCGCTCTTTGAGATTTCATAATGAGCCCTAGCTTCCTTGGATTTTAAGTCATCATGGGAAATTACATTGGGCGCGCGTGAGGCAGGCTGTGAAGGCGCGAAGGAAAATTCCCGGTTGGGGGTTGCGTGACGCAACCGGGTTGTTGTGATTTGTTTTCTATTTGTGCATTCACTATTAAATAATGCGTGTTTTCTCGATTAGTTGAGTATTTATTGCCGCTGAATCATTTCCGTTTTTCATACCATACTAGGCAGATTGTCAATGAACTGTCGACTGTTCCACGGGCGCCTATTATTTCGGAAAAATGCGTGCCACTTTTCGCGTGCCGTGCGCAATTCAGTGCGTCTTAAGTTGAGAACGTCATCCATCACCCGCACAGGAGTCTTCAACAGTGTGGAAACAATCGAGTGCGATGAGTCAAAAGTCTCGACAACAATTTCGAGACTATATTGTACCTCACCCCCGGAAGCATTCGACTATCACTCCATTGCGGATTCTACTCTAGAAAATATTCAGGATGTTTTGGAAGATCTCGTCGAATCAGATATGACAGAACTTGGAGCATCGAGCGACATTACATTCTCAGATGGAGTTTTAACTGCAAGACTCGGTCGCTTCGGAACTTATGTTATCAATAAGCAGTCTCCTAATCGGCAAATCTGGCTCTCAAGTCCTAAAAGTGGGCCTAAACGTTACGACTACGTGAATGGTCGCTGGATCTATTTGCATGATGGCGTTGAACTGTACATTCTCTTGAGTGAGGAGTTATCGGAAGTGTTTGGGAAACGTGTAGTGTTAAGTGATTAATTGATACTTGAGTAAAAGTTGTAGTGTACGTTCATTACACATTTAACGACTATGGTTCCGCTTGAACAGTACATCTGACATTGCTGCCTATGATGGTGATCCTGATTTTCCAGGCGGATTTTGTGATTTTTTTTTGGAGCAACGCTTATCATTTAGCGGCTATTCGAAATTTGAGTTCACGATTTGTATCCTCGATTGACCGAAATTTTCAGATGGATCCAGTATTATTGCCGGTTAGCGCTTGTTTTATTCATTGATGAGGTAGTCCCTCATTCCCGGATCCTTTTTTTTTAGGTGGCTAAGCTGAGGATATTCGATGATTTTGGAGAGCATTCAGTTCCTCTGGTGATGGGCCAAACGTGGATTGGCAGCAATGAATCGCAGTGTAACGTTGTCCTCTTCGGCAGTGAGGTACTGAGTTTTTGTTGTTGTCTTGTTGGCCCTTGTGATGGCTTTTTTTCTTTGGGTGTTGCTCAGCAAATTTCAGATCGTCATGCTGTGTGTACTATCAGCCGCTCGAAATATGGTAAGCTCGTTGCTGAGATTGAAGATCTGGGGAGCTCCAGTGGGATCTATATTTGCAGTGTAAGTTAATTTTCTAAAGTATTTTCCGGTGTAAGCATCTATGAATCAGTAATCGAACAGAAAGACAAGAAATCTAAAGCGAGAATATGGAGCTTCATGCCGTTCACTCTTCACAATCATGTCTCGATCATGTTTGGGGATGTTTTCGCTGTTTATGAGGTGATCCCTCCCCGTTCTAGTCATGATTTCCTCCAATGGAATCGCGTCAAGGTAAATTGAACGAAGTCACTGATTTATTCGTTAATGCTGGAATCCGCTGCTTTGCAGTGCCGTATCCTGGTTAACCTTCAGATCTGGAGTTGCCCAGGCAACTCCGGGAGGTCCTCCAAATTGTGTCCCGTGAGAAAAAAAAAAAATTTCCAACCAGTGTTCTTCGTAAACTTTTTAAAGACATAGTTTTTTCCCTCTTTTTCGGTGTCAGGATGCGGATGAATGTCTCAATGTCGTCGACTCTAGTACCGAATGCGTGAATTCAAAAGATAATGTATTTATTGATGGTGATTCCATCAACAGGACGCACCAGGTCGAAGGTATGCTTTTTTATGTGATGGGTAGAATTTAATTTTCGCACGCCGTAAGTCGTTTGGTGAACTAATGCAACGTGCTTGATGCTAGGTATGGTAATGGGGAAATCTGACTGCACTGAAGCGTTACTTGACTCCAGCATGATGTGGGATGTACCTTCTGATTCGAAAAATCGACCTTCTCCAAAACGTGTCACTTCGTGTAGTCATAACCGAACCTCTGTGTCTAGTAGCTCTTCATGCGAATCCGCTTTTCCGAGTCTCGACGGACACCGTAGTCTAACAGGATCAAGTGCCGTGCCTCAAACCTCTGATGACGACATTCCAGTTTGTTTCTCGTCCAATGAGATTACTACTGTGGATTGTTCCGAAATGTCTGCCAACAAAATTAGGCGTGATACTAATCTGAGCGTTAAAAGTATTTCCAAGTATTCTGTTGATGATTGGTTGAAGTTGGACATTGGAAGTCTGACACAAGATGGCTTCCAGTCCCGTAGAAGATCGGCAAATATTCCTGATATCGGTGAGCGATTCAAGAAACCTACACATTTTCCCGAACGCTCTCGTTCAGAAGAAGTTATCCAGCGGAATCATAAACGCATTTCTGATGAAAATAATCTTCGCAAAAATGATTTAAGGAAGAGTTCACGCACAAATGAAGTCCTCGAAGCTAAACGCCATGTCGATGATTATGCTGTCGATTCGCGATATGTTGAGTTTTGCAGCCGTCCGGGAAACCGGGAGTCTGACAATGCAAGTGAAAACCATCACCGAGATAATGTGTTGGGAAATGGAGTGAATGTCAAGACCGTGTCTTGTTCAGAAGATTCAGACTCATCTAGAAGCAAATCGCCGGCTGAAAATCGCGAGAAGTCGGTGCAACTTTTTGTGGAAGATCCAGAGGATATGTATGACGTTAAGTCTGTTCCGTCCGAGTTCGATGAAAATCTTGCTCTGAAATCGGTCAAGAACTCCTCAGATTTTTATAAGAAAGATGTCTTGGAGAATTTTTCGGATTCAGGAGAATACTTCGAGGAGAGTTCTGCGGCATTACAGTCTGAAACAGAAAAGGAAAAAATTTTGAAGCTACCCATGGAGAGAGACTCTTCGGGCACCGAATTGTTCACGACAGCCTCGATTAATACTCTAGCCGTACTTGATACTTCTGAAACATCATCACGGAATTCCGTTGACTGCATCACTCATTTCGTTTCACAACCAGGGACTTCCGTACGAACAAATCGGATTACCGAACCTTCAGCTTTGAAAGAAAGATGTTCGAATGGCTCTACAAATGCCGATCCGGGGAGACGAACCGACGAGTCTGTCGTGATGCCAACTCCAACGATTCGCCTTAAAAAACTTGATGGAAAGACAGATACTGCTAACCTTGCGTGTGCACTATTTGAAGATGATGAAAATCGGGAGAAAAATATGTCCACTTCGGAATCCGATGATTCCCCGAAAACATGGGATGACCAAAGAGGGATTTCACGTCCGAAGCGTGCCGCAGCCATGGCGGCAATGATATCCATCCAAAACATATCATATTACACAAAAAAGTCACTGGAACATTCGTCTGGGTTTGGGTTTCCTTTCGTGAATCGGATAGTTCTGTGCTGTTCTGGAGAAGAGCGAAAGAAGCTACAAGATTTCATAACCGGTTTGGGTAAATATGAAACAGTTTACTTGCTTGTTCCTATTTATAATTATCAACTATGTCAGTTTATCGTTATATTTTTTTGTGCCATTCAAAGACCTGTATTCAATCAGTTGTCACCGAAATGCGAAGTAATACGGAACTGAAAGCGCAAAAGTCAGCTACCGAAATCTCAACGATAGAACACATGGACTATTTTATTGTACTGTGAAAAACCATCATATTTGAAATTGAAATTCGACTGTTATTACCGTATTTATTCGAAATGTGAGCAATTGAATCATGTTGAAATATGTTAGTTCCCGTGATGCTTAAAAAGATGACGTACAAGATTTTCGTAGTCCTGGAGCAACGTGATGTCTGTGACGAAGATTATTCTACTCATAAACAAAAAAAAAATCATATGATCTAGTTGAGAAACTTGCTCTAAAAAAAAGTTATGCTCTTCAATCCTGATTGTAATGAAAAATCATCCCTTGCTGTTTTTAATCAGGAGGGTCCGTGGTGAGTTCGGACTCCCTTGTTAATGCTGATGTGTTGGTGGTGGAAAAGATTGAAGCAAGCGTGGAAGTTCTCGCGGCGATTTCTCTTGGAAAAGCAATAGTTGGGAAACAGTGGCTGATAGCCTCGCAGCGCGCCGGTTTATTTCTTGGTTTGTCCTATACAATATACTGTATTTTCCCCGTGCATTACAATTATATTTATTTTCAAATTTTCAATGACACCGGATTATTTTTGTTGATTTTTCGTTGAATTTTTCTAACGTAGTCCGAGCGTCACGATGATTAAAAAAATGTATCGCGTTTTAAACGGAGACGGGGGAAGTCATGTTTCGATTGGAAATCATAGAAAAAAATTCCTGAAAAATTTTAGATCCCAACAAGAAGATGAAACAGTACCTTCCGAGTGATTCATTGGTTGAGGCAGACGTCTTTGGTAGTATATCCCGAGCTCGGCGAAGTATCAGCTCGAGAGATCATCTTTTCGCGGGCGTGACGTTTTTTGTTTCCCATGGAGTCACTAAACTTCCTCGTGAACGTCTTCATTGTGAGTTCTGAAATATTTTGAGCCAACTTCTTTTTCAAGGGGAGTTTATTGTTCGGGGTATTTCCAGGTGTAATCTCTTCCTGCGAGCCACTACTTCAGATAAAATACTGTGATTTGTTCATTGTGGACGTCTAAAATTAATGAGTTAATAATTTAATTTCACATAAGAAAAATTTAAGGAAGAAAAGAAACTAAAACCTAAATCAATCTAACCTAAACTTATCAAACTTGAACTAACCTTATCTAAATTAACAGAACCTTAATAAAAACAATCTGAACTGACTGGTTTTCCTTGAAAGTTTAGAATCGTTCCATTCTTTCGTATGTCCTTTCCTGATTTATTATGGATTCCTGGGAACGTTTTCGAAGTTAGTTGTGCTCAATGTCGGTTTTTTTTTCATGACTTCTGTGGGCAGTATTCCTGGATCATACAGGTGCTCAAACGAAGCTTATGTTGCCGCGCATGAAGATAAAGCCCCATGAACACAACTTCATCGTGGTGGATTCTGAAAATGACATCCGGTCGTACAAAAACGTTAAGCGAGTCCTGACTGATGACTTGATTCATGCCGTTATGCATCAGGATGCCTCGAGGGTGCTTTCTCAGTAATGCCCACTGGTGTTCTCCTTAATACCCTTCGCGAGGAATTTTTCGCTCTATTTCGTGAATAGTCCTGACTGTGATCGAGGATATTGATGCCGGTCGTAATTATATTGATGCTACAAATTCGAATTCCAGATTGCTCTGCGCAATTATTGAATGAGATGGATTTTGATGACGCGTGTACTCAGAAAGTGTTGCATGATTTCGACGAACCGGTCAAGGATGAACAACCAAACGAATCTGCTGTGAGTTGAAAAGTTTTTTGATCCCATAGAGGCCCATTAAGCTGCGTTTTGTTTTTCAGAAGCATTATCGGTTCCTTTTAACAAATTATAAAAATCTTCATTCATGCAGATATTTTTTTCCATCGGTAATATGTGTTCTGTATCGTGAAACAGCTGGCGAAGCTCCGATTTAACACTGCAGACAAAAGGTTGGTGGAGGCGTTGCTTTTTGCTGGCAAGAATACAATCGGCCGATCTCCATTTGTGAACAACATTATACTCTCGGATTCACCGGTTTGTTTTGCTTGGAATCACGAAAAATTTTTTTTAATGTTTGAAGGGGAGTATATTCTATTTCTAGGGAGTATCAAAAGAACATCATCTTGTAATCTCGTTGGAGCTGCGTTATGGAATGTTGAAGACGGAAGTGGTACACAAGGCAAGCCCAAATCCAACGAGGATTGTGAGTGGATTATCTTGTTGAATGATTTCCAGTTCTGCGGGTAGAAAATAATGTTCAGTCCCACCAGGTGTTGAACAACTGCATTATTAATCGTATTCTTTCACCACACGTCATCAAAACACCACTTAGCAATTGAAACACATGTCCTATCTGTTTGGTTTGAGAATTTAAGCATTCTACAAATTAACCGTTCTGCCTTTGTTTTACCTTGGAACTTGGAATCATAAATTTCGAACTTGAAATGTAACCTTCAACGCTGTAATGATGTTGGGGCATCAGTGTAGTAAATTTATATAAGCTAAATTTTGAGTTCGTTGGTTACTCTGGAACTGTGTTGGAAATGATCAAGGATCATGAACTCTAAAATTATTTATTGTTGGAAAGAGTACTGGAGAAGAACAAGGGACTGATTTTTTGTTCAGTTGGTTGAACTGCGCGAGTTAAAAATTCGAAGAAACTCATTTTTTCAAGTACTGTACTATAGAGAAAATTTTCAGAAATCGTTCTGCGCGGGAAATTGAAAACCCCTAGGTTCTGTATGGCAATGTTTCAATAAAAAAAGTCAAAATCACGTCAATTTAGTAAAGGGGATAAAGAGTTCAACCTGAGGAATGTGGATTTTCGTTCTCGCAAGGATTTCGCAAATGCGAGGAACTCTTGGAAAAAACCCAACATACTTCCGGAAGGGAGGTATTCACGGATTTACAGTTCACGGAACTTTCTTACGATTTCAGAATAAGATCACCCTACGAACAGGGGATCCCTTTGACTTTCCCCTCAAAACCGGCGATGAATTGGAATTTGGCGGTGTCAAGTGCGAATTCATAACTTTGGGTCCCGAAGAAGCTGCTTCTCTTCCAGGGAAAACGGTCTCATCGAAACAAACATTGAAGCTAGCGAAACAGGATGCGTCGCATTCACGAGTAAAATAATTATGTTGTATCATCTGTTACATTCCTATATTTTATAATGTTTTCTTCTTTCGTGAAGTGGTCGAAGACGATTGATGAAAGTAGTAGCGATGAGGAAAATTCTACGTCCATTCTGGGAACGTCTTTAGGACTTGCCCGAACACGTGCCGTTGAAGGTTGTACGACTATATTAGATACCCCGGACAGTCGGGGTGATGAATCTGCAGATATCTCTTCACGTAAGTTGCCACGAAGTGTAGTCATGTTACGAACACAAATTTTCTATTTGACCGGATATATGTATTGTGCAGTACAGGAATGCGTAAAGGTGAAAATCTTGGCGCTGAATTTTTATCATTTGTAACATGTACAGTATTGTGAATTTTCTATACTCTTCCGTCGTCCAATGTTATCCAACGTATATCAACTACAGTATGAGTTAACATGGTCATAGCGAATATTGATGCTGAAAAAATTATGCATATTTTCTGACCTCTTCTACGTTGTTTTTGTCTCAAACATCTTCTGTATATTTTCTAGTGGAAAATTCTCGTACCGAGAATCATTCGCGTGATACCACGCAGAATTCGACCAAGGAACCAAAATGCATCGAATCCCCTGGTTTTTGCGACACAAGGAATCCTGTCGATTCCTCGTTGCAGTCGTTGGATTCGACAAATGGTTCATCACCGTCCCCCATGGAATATTTCAAGTCTGAAAGGGAAGATTCCTTCGGAGATTATCCCGAAACACAGGCTGCATTTCTCACACGCCGATCCCTTGCTCAGGATTCATTTTCAGAGTATCCAAAAACTCAGGCAGTGCGTTTGAGAGAAAGTTGTGATTCAGACGAGGACGATGCTCTGACTCAAGTCCAGCGAGTTGGAAATAGAATGGGCGATGTGCTGACTCAAGTTCAGCATGTCACTGTAGGAATGGACGAACAAGATTCGCACGCGGACGATTTGCAAGAAACCGAATATGCACCGTTGGAAGTCTCCGCCCTTGGTTTGTGAACATGTCACATCAATGCTCTGGATTTGCTCACGTATAGGCATCAAAAGCATTTTGGCTTACAGCAATTCCTAAAAAGTTGCTCTTGATGGAAAAGCACGAATATTTTACTTTCTTCAATTCGTCAGATTTGGAAACAAGTGAATTTTCTTTCTTTTTATACAAGAAAAATCAATCCTTCATAGAACACAATTCAGCTCGGGCCTTGAAATGGCTGACAGAAAATAAATTATCCCAGTATTCCACCAGTGCCGGAAAAGCGTAGTGTCGAAAGTTATTCAGACAAATGTTTCTTGAAGGATTAACTCGTAGTATCAATCTCATTATTTGATAAATAGGCCGGGTTATCTGGTAGATAACCTTGATTTGAAATTAAAAATTTTAAACACATTTCCGGGATTTTTTTTTATCTTTTTAGATGCGCAAAAGGATGACAAAGAACTGGAAGACGTTAGTATCAACGATCGTGCTTCTGTGTCCGCTTCCATTGATAGCGGACTTCACGATTTTTTCGGAGACTCAGAAACTTTTACTCCACCGAATTTGAAAAACGTGCGGTCGTATTCCGCTCGATATTCCAAGTCCATGGCCAAAGAACGATCCTCTTCTACTCTTTTTTTGGAATCCTCCGAAAGCGAAATTTCGTCACCAAAAAAAAATTCTTTTGCTGAGCCAAGGACTCCTCCATCTCGTCCCAAGGGGCGCCGAGCATTGCATTGTGCCTCCGGAAATTGGGCTTCAGATGATTCAGAACCGCTTGCCTTTTCACCTGACGCTGTGAACCGCACTTTACCCGCGCAGTTAGTGAATGAAGTGAAAAGATCTGTGCCAGTAAGGCGAACAGCTAGTAATGGGAAAGGATTGTTCGGGTCCTGTCGAACCCGTGAACCGCGGAAGACGAAAAACCGAGGCTCTAAAGCTGAGGAAGTCGAACCGGAAAAAATCAACCCAATTACTTCTGAACTCGATGATCCATCGAAAAGTTCCTCTGCGTCCTGTCGAACCCGTGAAACCCGGCGGACAAACCCCCCAGTTTTCGAGGCTGAGCTTGAAAAACGTGCATCAAAATCCCTCAAACCGAATGTTCCTGAACTCAATGTTTTGAAGAAAACTTTCCCCGCGTCTTCCCGATCCCAAGAACCTCACCAGCTGAAATTTAAGACTTCGGAAGCTGAGGTCGAGGAATCCGTGCCAAAATCCATTCACAAGAGCAATCTTACCATTGAGCTCAACGTCGAATCGAATATTTTGCCTGCATCCTCACGAACCCGTGGCAGGCAGCGTAAGAAAACTCGAGGCTCCGAAGATGAAATACAAGAACCCGCGGCAAAATCCATCGCTCCTGAGCAGCAAGAAGGCATAGCTTCGTCTCTCCGAACTCGTGAGCCTCTTAAAACGAAAACCAGAAGAATTGAAACCGGCGATGAAGAACCCCCATCGAATTCCGTCAAGCGAATTGTTCCCAAGCCTAACTCCCAATCTGAAGGTTTTCCTGCGTCCTCCCTAACCCGTGGATCCGGCTCGACGAAAACCAGGGTTTTTGAAGCTGAGGTTGAGGAAGATGCGCCAAAATCCAAGCGTCAGATCAATTCTACTGCGAAACTCGACGTAGAAACTACAAATGTACCTGTATCCTCCCGAACCCGTGGTGGGCCGCGTAAGGTAACCCGAGGCCCCAAAGCCAAGGAACCTGGTCCAAAACCCGTCAAACATAACAGTCCTCCTCCTGATGCTGGAATACAGTGCTTTCAGCGTGGAGATGCTGAAGTCAATGGTACTGAGCAATCTGCTAAACCAGGACTGGTCCATTCTAAAGAAGATCTTCCGTTGGAGCTGAATCATCAACAAATTTCAGAACAGAAATCCGTGAAGTCTGGAAAGCCTGCAGTTAAGAGCAGTGTCGTGCGTGAAGGCAGCAGATCGAGAAAAGGAGGTTTCGGGGGAAAAGAGGAATCTTCTACAGCAGTCAAGCAGCAAAGTGCTGCAGTTATGGTCAGTCGTGTGAACCATCAGAAATCAAGCGAAACTGCGGCAACTGTTGTTCCGAGGCAAAAACGCAAAGCCATGCTGAACGCTTCTATACGGATTGAAAACTGGTGCGGACGAAGCGAGAAAAAGGAAGTTAAAGAGAACGTCAATCCGAAGAATAGCAGTAAAAGGAAAATCGCTGCGAAGTCTGCAGACGAAGACGTGAAACGAAGCCGAGTCGAGTCGTCGGTTCAGCTAGTGACTCCGTCAGCTAAACCGGGATACACTAGAAAGTCTCTGGATGAAGACGCTTCAAACGTTAAACGTGTAGCGGTTGGTTCTGGGTGCCAGGCGAGAGACCTACTTGTCAATCTTGTCGAAATGTTGGGTGAGTTTGTGGAATACCATAATTTAATTGTTCGCAGATTTTTTTTATGGATCACTTCAGTGATTCTGTTTCTGTTATGCTGGAAATTCTTACGAACAAGGGAGAACATGATTTGTTTTGACTTTTGACAACATTTACTGTACTTCGAATTCTCTTCTAGGTTTTTTTTCTCAAGAGAGAGCATTTTTCAAACATTTTTTGCTTAGAAACAATTTTCCATTCTGACGTTTCTTAAATATGTATCACAGTATGTGGGTATGTAGCTTAAATTTTATCGTCATTCCTGGAAATTTATGGAGGGTTTCGTTTATTCAAGTGTTCTTCTCATGAAATTTGAATTACTGTATTGCTTGAGGAGATGCAAAAGTTGTCTAGTTGGATTCGCGAAAGACACAACTGAACGGATCTTGGCGCTTATTTTTTGTACGCAGGAGGCTGTGTTGTAGATATTGAAGAACCTGCTGACGCACTCGTCGTGGACCGTTATGAAGCATCTGTTGAAATTCTAACTGCCATTACGTTGGGAATTTTGATAGTGCATTCAGGTTGGATCAAGGCTTGCAAGCGTGCCGGAAAATTAATAGGTCAGTTCGTGTTTAAAATGTTTCATCATTATTTATAGTTCACGAAATTTCTATTTTGGAATGACTATTTTTTATTCATCAATACTTGATTTTAATCGCCCCAGATTGAATAAAAATATGGTTGAAATCGTGATGTTTACTAAAAAATTTTATTCTGATATGGTTTTTTCGACAGGTGCGCGAGAGTTTCTGATGAAGCGTCCAACAAACGAGAAGATATACGGTGCTGATATTGAGGAGAGCGTCATATTTTCGCGAAGCTTGAAATTCCGGGGAGTGAAACTTCTAGCTGGAAAGACGTTCTATTTATCCCCGAAAATTGTCGACCCACCAGTGGATCAGTTTGAGCGTGAGTTTAATTTGCTTTCTCTCAAGGATTGCTGTATTTCTCAACAAAATGATATGCGTAGTTTTAAACCGGAAACTACCAATGACTTTCAACCCGTCAAACTAAAAAAAGACCCAGTGGATTAAGATCCTTTGCTTGCCCAAAAGTGCAAAAACTTTCTAGTGGCATTATCCATTCAAGCATTAAACAGTAACTAACGTTAGGCTCGCTAATATTTTTTCTGATGGAATTATCCTTGCGATCGACATGCTGACTCCTGTCTTTTTGGAATAGTTGGTGAGATTCAAATTTATCTTCTACGTACGAATTTTTCATTGATGGTAAGATCCTTATGTGTATCCTTATCTATTCGGGATTTTGCTTTATGAATATCCTTACGAGTATAAAAAGTATCAGAAGAGTCAAGTTAAATTCATCGATGGAATTTACAAAATTTTGGACCACCCCGTAAGTTGTCATTTTGGAAGAAACTCCAAGACGCGCCCTGATTTTTCAAAATACAACTCGGAAAAAGTAATTTTTACGCTCGCTTAAATACGCTGGACTCTCGAATTTTAATAGATTGAAATTTCTTGAAGGAGGTGCGTTATTCAATTTGACTTTTCTTGTGTCTTTTTCTTGAATTTAGGTTTCCTGAAACCGTGTGGAGCGGTTTGTAAAATACTGGCTTCGAAAGTTCGTGTTCCCAAGGACGCGGAATCTTGGATTGTATTGGCCAATTCTACGGACATGCGACCTTCCGAGCGAAAAGGTGTGAAACGTGTTAGTGTTCACGAGCTCCTTGATGCTGTTTTTTCTCAGAAGGCCCTAGAATGACTGACGTGGCTTGTGATGGATTCAAAACGTAAGGGCTGCACTTTTCTTGTGATTCTAAGTTCTCGAAGCGTTCTGTACACGTTGAGGAATGCTTCAGATCGCGTCGAATCTCGTAAATATCAAAAGTTGATATTTCTCCATCCAAGAGCCGGAATTACGGGAAGGCTGGAGTAAAACTGCCTAAAAGAACGTTAAAAAGTTTAAATTTGTAAAGAGTATTTCGTGAAGTTGCCGGTTATTCCATTATTCTGAAATTATTGCGTTTTACTCCGTTGTTCTCAGACTTACTATCCCCATGTTAATCAACACGCTCGAAACACTAAAATTGTGATCAAATCGATCAATTTTTCCACGTTTGGATGGATTGTTCTTTTTCGAGTTTGTACTTTTTTGACGGCTTTTGCAAGAATTGGCGGTGTTCCTCAGCGGGAGGATTCGAACTATGCACGGGTATTTTGCAATGCCTTTTTTTCTTTTGCTTGGAATTTTGAAGGCCTGTTCCGAATGAATCATTTTTCATGTTTTGCTACCGAGTTATTGATGAGTTTTTATTTTAATCGTCAAAATATTCGGTCAGGTCGCGATTTCCGCATGAATGTCATTCACCATGACATTTGATTCCCCTGGATAATTCGGATCCAAGGTCCTTTGGATTCCCCGTGACCCTGCCATTGTTCTGCCACATCAGTGATCTTTTCGGGATTCCAGATGAATTTCCTGCCATGAATTGTTCCGCTTTTTTTCTTTCGTCGTCAAGCTCGGGCAAGTCTGCTTATTGTCCAAGTTCCCGTAGCAATTCGTGTTCACTGACTAAATTTTGATTTCGTAGTGACAATTCAATTTAAGCTGTATCAGCGGAACAGATGGTGGACGTCAGCGAGTTGCTTTTCAGCGCGTATCATAATTAATGCTAATCCCGTCCCATGACAAGATCACGGAATTTTGGTAAAGCTTCGTTTATTTGAAAATGCCGAAAATTCTGTATTAATCCCACGCTTTGTTGTAAAGTTTCTGAGAATGTTGAAATTTTTATAAATTTGAAGAAACATGAAAAAAAAACGTGGTACACCATTTTTCGCGGGGCTTTGGGGCATCAAGTGCGATGCAGTCATTGAATCTTCCAAGCCCTTCCACCCGTATTCACAAGATAGAGTTGAAAATGTTCAAAACTGATTCCTTGTGAATGGTTGGAGCTACCGCCTATTAACAAATGTTGAATAGAAGATCATTTTCATATTTTACCCAAGGATGATTAATTTTAATGTTGCAGCGAGAACTTCATGTTAGATTTTATTTTATGCATCACTGCCTGTGCATTAGAATTAACATATTGGTCATTAAACGTATTGTCCTGTGCACTCCCGAAATATTACGCACTAATTACAGTACATACTTTCCTATGCATTTTGACTCTGTCCGTATTTTGAATTCAGTGTACTTTTTCATAATCCACCCGAAGAATTATTGGAGGGCTTGCCTTGGCTAGAAACGTAGGTCTTCGCAAAGAGAATTTTGCTGTGAAGGGAATCGAAATGAAGAAGAGTCCTCCCGAGAACAACACCTTGCAGTGATGCGAGTGCTTCTGAACTGGGAACTTTATTTTGTTTCGTACTTTCTCAAGTTATTGCACGACGTCAGTGCGATGAGTTGCGTTTTCATGGAATAGGAAAAGAATCGTTCCCACTACCGAGCGTCACAGAAATAAATAGTTCAGTGATCGGAATTACAGTACTGCACTCTGATTTTGATTTTAATTTACTCGCTGAGTTATTTTCTATCACTTGACATTTCTCATCTCGAAAAAGTAGGCCTTGACTCGAGAAACAAATTTTGGATGAAAACAACCTGCAGAAAATTTTGTCATCTTTAATTTTTGGTCCAATCTGTTCAACGGAATTTCTCGAAACTGTTCGAAATTACGCATGACTCGGATTTTTAGCGACTTTTATTCAATCTTTGCTGGGCTTGAAAATCATGTCGAGTTTCAAAATTTATGAGATGACGTCTTGCTTGTCTGAGTAATTCTGGTGCTTAAATTTTTCACCATTAATGTTGAGATTTTTCCACAGTGATTTATCTGTTTAGTACTTGTATTCCAGTGCTAGCGATCACGACAATTTTTAGAATGGTTTAGGAATCGTTCGAATTCTGTGCTTAATAATTGACTTGAAGTTCTATTCCGAGATTGTCTTCGGCTTACCAGTTTAAGCGAGGGAATTCCAGACCTACAGTACAGTTTTGTTCCAAGGATATTTTGTCTGAAGTTCCGTATCGCCTGATCGGATCTAATCAGAAATTCTGCTGAGCTGTCGCAGTTCGGGACTGAAATTCGACGTCACCGTCGCTCTGTAATATCGGTTTGAATATTCCGAAATTGACGAGTTTTGTTTTCGAACTCGACGAAGGCCTTCCCCGTGTTGCACAGTTCACCCGCGAACGTTCAATTTCAGACTGCGCACGCGTTCAAGAAAACACGCCGGAGTACAAAAATGGGGACGAAGTGTCGGGTGACTTTTTGTAAAACTGTTTTCCTCTGCATTTTCTGTTAGCTTTTTCGCGGTTTCCTTCTTTTCGTCTTATATGTTGGAAAAATTCACATTCTTGGAAGAATTCGATTCGAGAATGTTGTCCGCTGGATGACCAGAGTTATTGTTGTTACTGCTTATTCATGATGAACTTCATGGTTCAGAGACCCGGAGGATTGATCCAGTGTTCATTCGCTGCATGCGCGGTGCTGGAGAACAGAGAGTGTCAAGTGATTTTGGTTCTTGGTTTTCAAGAAACTTGAATTCGTTCCAAGATGAAGTGTGTATCCTTGGGTGTCCAGAAGATGTTTTATAGTCTGGGATTCAAAATTGGCCGATACCCTGCGTTTTTCGTGGGTATGTCGCTATTGATGTGGTGAGTGAAGTCAATCTTTGGCATCATGAAGTGGTAGAAAATCTATGAATTATTTGAAAGTAGCCTGTGATTTTCTGCAGTTATACAATCATACAAATTATGAGTACAGTATACAGAACTAGAAAATCCAGATTGGGTGTTCCATTCCTTCTCAAGTTGGGTTTCGTCTGTTTTCTAATCAGCAATGAAAGACGCAAAGCTAATAAAATTGCTTTACGACAATTCTAGCACATGGCGCAAAAAATGTTACAGATGAAGTCATTATTCTGTTAGCTTAGACAGATTTGCAAATGTTTTCATCCTGAACTATCCGAAATGCGATCGTAATTAGCTCGGGTTCCGATTTCATCCGTCATTACTTTCACGATTTCTGCATCGCGATGATGACTAACTAATCTCATTATCGGAGTCGTAACGAATGAGTTTTACGTCGTTCATCGTTGAAAAGGTAAAAATGCGTCGCTTTTACTTTTATTCTCAAAATCAATTTTTGTGAATTTATTTCTAATGGAAAACAGTTATGAAGATGATGAGCAACCACATATGAATTACATAATGACCTGGTGACCATTTAGAATCTCGCAGTATACTGACTATTTTTGCCTTCCATTTAAAAAATCGAGGTGTGAAGAAAATTTCAAGCTTTTTCAAAACCCACTCGCGGTAAGAGGAGATCATCGTGTGTGCCGCACGATTGATTTCTGTCCATTTAGAATCAGCCAAAGCCTTCAATATCCGATACCTAATTTTTCATAGTTTTGGTACCGCACGATGCTCCTCAAACGAAAAAATATTGATGCTGCATTTAAACAGGTCTGCACAACTATCAATTTAGTTAGCTATACGTGAGGCCGTGTTTTTTATGAACGATGATCACGAGGCTTTACAGTATTAAGCAGGACCGAAGTACATTACTGTACTACAGTACAAAGAACTCGAGGTTTTGAATCGTTGCTCGCTGCTGTGATTTTTATTTTTAATCGAGGGATAACTTATCATTCCTCAATTATTGAAATATCGGGATCGCCTCGCTCATTTCTGCTTCAAGCATCATGTTACAAGCGTCAATGCGATCCATAAGTTTCAATGCCGGTCAGAATGAATACGTCGCACCGCGGAACACTGAGTCTCGGAAGGATGAAATCGTGCACAACTATTTCAACTCTCTGCAATATAAATGCCAAAAAGACTTCACCGAGCCGAATACGACCATGCTTGCTGGGAAATTGATGCCGGACCGTGTTGCTACCATGTTCAATGTTCTCGGCGTGATTGTGAAAGCAAAAGACGGGGGCAGCGTGTTGAGACAAAAGGTGTTCCGCGAAATCAACTTGATCCAGCAGGAGATCCTCAAGGTTCAAATCGAAAGTTTACACAGGAAGTGGCAGTATGCAGATGTTTGTCTCCCGATGTATCCGAAGTGCGACGAAGAAAAGGTTTAATTTTTTTTTCCTATTTTTCTGTAGTGCCCTGATTGTGGAATGAATGGGGTCATGGGTGTGATCGAATTTTGAATGGACACCCCGGACTTTAATTTATGTCAATGGAAGTTATAGTGTCTTTGGGCGTATAGAGGAAGGAACCTCACGGATACCGGTTTTTTCTACAGCTGTGTATTTCCAACTGTTGTCCCTGGATGAAGTGTCAAAACGGGATCTTTTGTAGAGATCTTCTCTCGGGAACTACTGTACTTCGGATTTTTTGCGAGAAAAGATTGATAAGTTGATGGTACGGTACACGTTTCAGGCCAAAAGTAACTGAAGAAATCCCCGGAACCATTTGGGATCATTATTGATCATTGTCATCGGGATCAACTCTTATTGGTGACTCGCTTAATAGTACTTTCTTCAATCGCATGCCACTGATTTGAGAATTTTCTTGCTGAACATAATTGCTTGGCTATTTCAAGTTTTTTAGCTTCTCTAAAACAGAAAATGTGGAGAACAGATTACTTCATTAATTTGAGCGTAATTATCAGATGTGTATACATCGACACAAGACATTTTAAGATATTTCAATTCATTTTTACGACTGAGGCCATTCGCAGTTTAAACTTTCCATTTTGTCAGGTTCATCAAAATTGGGGGAAATTAACAGAAAATTACGACGAAATTCGTAAATTTGGAGAAATTGAATCAATCTAATAGATCAGGGAAAAGCGAGACAGGCAAGAATTGTGAACTGCTTATAATTTGAATTGCATTTTATCGGGCT